AGCTCCCTATGGGGCCACGAATCGGTGGTGATGATGATGATGATGATGATGATGATGATGATGATGATGATGATGATGATGATGATGATGATGATGATGATGATGATGATGATGATGATGATGGGAGGAGGGAGGGGGGGGAGGAGGAGGAGAAGAGGAACGCGGGGCACCGTCTCTTCAAAACGAGGACCCAACACCACAGGATGGTTGGGAATAAAAGACTCCCGCGCCAGCCAGTTCATCGGCTCCCACGCCGACCAGCCCCCCGACTCCCGCACCGACTAAATCGATTTCCGTGCAAGTCGGCTGGCCTCTACTCCTGCGCCGACCAGCTCGCCGACTCCCACGCCGACCGGTTCACCATCTCCCGACGCCCGCGCGGACCAGCTCACCGATATTTCCCACCCCAGCGCCGATTCCAATTCCAACGCCGACGCCCACGGCAATGCCGACGCTGGAGCCTCCGCCAACACCTACGGTGGCACAGACGCCAATACAAACGCCTGCGCATACGCCAGCGTCCACGCTGGCACCAACGCCAATGATGGCGCCCACACTGGCTCCTACGCCAACTCTTACGCTGGCTCCTACGCCCAAGCAGCGACGCCAACTCCTTCGCCTACTCCAACGCCAATGGCCTCGCCAGAGCCTCCGCCAGTGCCGACGCTGGCACCGACGCCAGCGCGGAAGCCATCACTGACACCAGCACCAATGCCGACGCCTACGCCGCACAAGCACTGGCACCAACAGTGACGACGGCAGCTCCGTCGACAGCACCGGCCTCGGCGCCTACAGCTGCATTGACGCCAACTACAGTGCGAGGTGCGGTACCCCCTTGGTTTCCCGTGGCGCTGTGCCCCCTTGTGTTCCCGAGGCGCTGTGCCCCCTTGAATTCCCGAGGCGCTGTGCCCCCTTGAATTCCCGAGGCGCTGAGCCCCCTTGCGCTCCCGACTCTGGGACATTTCGAGTTCTGGCGTGCCGGCCCATCGGCTATCCGCCGGCCCATCCCTCCGCTTTTCCACCACCACCACCACCACCACCACCACATACCAACCTTCAAACGCCACCAACTCATCCTCTGCTCCGGGGAGGCACGATTTGTCTGGCCCATTGGTGCCGATAGGATGCACCAGCACACTGTCATGACGCAGCATTTAAGAATTCCAGTAGTTCCACGCGTGCAAGGACCTGATGGGTTGCACCGCGATGTCGGCACGGGACGATAGATTTGTCGGCGCCTACGTCATCACAACCGTCGGCGCCTACGCCAGCGTCGAGGCCATTATGCACGCCTTCGACTGCGCCGGCACCGCCAGCAGCGCCTACGCCGGCCCCGACGCCAGCACTGACGCCCAACGAATTCCAGCGCCTGCACTGGCACCAACGACAGCGCCTACATCAGCACCATTGTCCTCACCGACACCAGCACCAGCGTCAACGACTATGCCAGAACCAATGTCGACGCCTACGCCAGCACGACGCCTTCGTCTACTCCCGCGCCGACCTGCTTGGCGGCCCCCGCGCCGACCAGCTCACCCACTCCTACGCTGAACAGCATACCGACTCCCACGATGAACAGCATGCCGACTCCCGCGCCGACCAGCTGACCCAATCACGCACCAAGCAGCTCGCCGCCTCCCGTGTCGAACAGTTCACCGACTCCCACGCCTACCAGCCCCTTGACTCCTTCGCCGACCAGCTCGCCGACTCCCGCGCCGGCTAGCTGCCGACTCCCGCACCGACCAGCCGATTCCCGCGCCGATCGGCTCACCGACTCCCGCGCCCACCAGCTCACCGACCCCCGCGCCGATTAGCCCACCGACTCCAGCGCCGACCAGATCACCGACTCCAGCCTCGACCAGCGCACCGTCTCTCGCACGGACCAGCTCACCGATCCCCACGCCGACCAACCTCCATTTGAGCCAGAGGATTGCGCCACGACTGTGAAGCAGGAGCAGCCACACCACGACTGTGACGCAGAAGAAGGAGCCACACTTTGTTGGTGCCAGTTCTGTCACATTCACCCGGACAGCTGCGGGGACGTCGTCCCAGCCGACCTGGCAGAGCACCGATGGTAGTGCATGACGGCCAGACCTGGGCTTTGCTACGGCGTTCTCCTTCCTCCACATCAGAGGTGAGCATCGCGTCGTCTCCGACCCCAGTTGCTGTCTTGCTTCAGTTTCGTCTTTGAGGCCATCTCCAACGCCGATGTGGTGACGTCTACCTGGCCAGAAGCGTGCGCCACCCTCTGGATCGCAGCGCCGTGGCTCTGGCGGCCGTCCCCGACATGATATGAAGGCTTTTTTGGCTGACGCGTACCCCCACCCTCCTCTCCTTGCTCTCTCCGCTGCGTCCTGCGTTTCTAGCTCGTGCATGCGCTCTGGGGCCAGTCGTGTAGCTCCATGGTTGGCCGGCGCTCTTCGCATGCCCCAGAGCTCCTACTCGATTATTTCTCTAGTAGTTCTTTAGAGGCCACCCGCACCACAGGTGTGCGCGCCCAGCCGCGCTCGACCCTACATGGTAGGACCCAGGCCGGTTTTGTTGCGCACACCCGTCAAATATGGGATATTGCTCCCCCTCTCCCTCCGCTTTTTCCAGTCGCAATTGCTCGCGTGGGCTTCAGTGTGCGCACCGCCTGTGCTTCAGTGAGCGCACCGGGCGTTTCTGTCCTACCGTTCTTCCTCCTCCTCCTCCTCCTCCTCCTCCTCATCCTCTGTTCTTGAGCTGTGTGTCACGAAGGCCTCCCCCCTGCAGCATGCGACGCGCCGGCGTCCACCCGGCAATGTTGCGACCAGGTGTTGGTTTTCATGCCCGCTGGTTTGATCGTGAAGTATACGTTTCTTCGCTTTTCGCGCCCCGCCTCGTCCTTCCCCCCCGGCCCCCTGCTCCCTCGGCCATCTAGCTGCGGCCCGATGATAGTTCGTTGTTGTTCTGTTGCTGGCGTTGGCCCTGTAGGGTAATCACAGGTGCCGCCGCAGCCATTGCTTGTCGCCCAGCGTGGCTTGGCACTTCACCGCCCGCCGTCTTGGGAACCCGTTGCAATCTTGAGATCCCAAAAACAAAGAACGTGCGCAGTAAGAAGGCGCGAGTCACATCTTGGAAGCAATGATCCTACCATCCGTGTGAACATACTCTACAAGTTGCCCACATGCAGCGCTGTTGTGAAAACGGCAACGATGCGAAGGACGAGTTGCACAGCATGTTGAGAGTGGCATGATTACGTGGTTCAGGCGAGTGATGCCTTGAACGTTGGCCTGTTGCTGGTGTGTGCTCGTCTGTTTTTTCAGACATGCCGCACGAGTTCTCGGCTATGTTTTGGATACATTGTTTTTTGTGCGTGCAAGAAGTCGGGGTGGTGCATTTATCGAGACACGCAGTAAGTCGGCACGCACAGGGGGCGGGTTGCGAGCTTGATGCCGAGGTGACTTCGCAGTGACGGAAAGAGGGGCGCCTTGTGCCTCAAAGCATTCGCGTTCGTCACGGCGTGGTTGTGGTGACGGGTGTCTTGTCAGATGATTCTCGTCGAATTGATCGTCGATGTGTCGCCGTTGTTGGCTCATCGCGCGCTGTCCAGCCGAGTGGTCGCCATCAGGGGCTACCTCCTCACAGGGAGGCGGGGCTCGTTTCCTTGAGTGTATGTGTGTGCGTTTTTGTTCGGCAGCCCTGTCACTCGTTCAGGGTGTTCTGCTCCTCTACACCGCCCGATGTCTTCCCATGGCTCTCAATGTCTCTTCACATTGACCTCCTCGATAGAGTCGTCTTGAAATGACTTCACACACGATGCCGAGACTGTCAGTATCATTGTCGAGACGGGTTTTGGTGTTGATGGCTTCGTTGCCAGGGGTCGGAATGTAGAAAACGACGACGGCGAGGACAGTATTCTCCTCCTACTAGTTTCGTTTCTCGCCTCCCAGTTCTCGTCATCATCCTTCTCGTGCGTCGATTCTCCCTCACTGACTGGCAGCGTCTGTCACTGGATCGTTTGCTTTGCCTGGTTGCGGGAACTTCGTCAGTTTTGGAGGTCGAGCATGTTTTCGCAACGGGTGTCGCACGCGATCCGTTAGCCCTAAACGCCTACAACTAGTCGCAGGGCACATTGTAAACGATCGTTTTTCCAACGAGCGGGGAAGGGCGGGAGAGAGGGTTCCACATTCTCCGTGGAGGTTATGGGGGCATTTCTGGGGTTGTCTTGACACGGTGGTGTAGCGCGGAACGGGGGGAGAGGGAGAGGGAAAAGGGGAGGGAAGGGGGAGAGGGAGCGAGCGGTAGGAGAGGGAGGGAGCAAGGTAAGGACGAGGGGAGGGACAGGAATGGAACGAAGGGGGACAGGACCACACAAGAGGAGGAGGACGAGAAGCGGAGCGCGATCTCCTCGTTTTTCCGCTGGCGCTATTCACTTCGCTTTTGGCTGCGAGGTCAGTTCTCTCAGACAGTAGCAGTACCACCCAGACACGGTTATGCTCGGTATGTTGTTCCAGTTGACATTGGTACTCGCAAATTTCGGTCCCCCGACCCAGGGGGGCGATGCCGTTGTGTTTGTTTCGCCCGAGGCGGAGAAGAGGGTGTGCCACCAATCCAGCGCATTACCTCTACATTGCAGCTCGGGCTGCAATTGGCACCGTGACAGTTGACGGTATGTAATACATTGTCTTGCGGCCCTTGGTCCTCGCAACGTATCGCTATTGTACTCTTCCCTTGCCCTCGTCATCGTCATCACCATTATTCTCATCGCCCCAAATCGATTTGGGATTCCTAGATCTTCTCTCGGTCATCTGTAGTGGGGTCATGGTGGAAGCGACTGTCAACCCTGTGGCAGTTCTAGATGCCAAAACGGGAACGTTGGAGTAGTGATGGGATGATTCGCATGCCATGTAATGTGGGTATCGTGTTCTACGCGCTACACCCGATCCACATGGGTTGTTAGATCTGATGGGCTCCTCTTGGTGTAACCCCCCATGCACATCCAGGAAGCAGCAGCGATGCCAGAATATGCTTGAACCATGCCGCTATCTGGTCGACAATGGCTACAAGGCTTGGCTGGATATATGTTGCTCGCATGCAAGCGTCGTACTTTATCAGCCTCTTTGTTGCGATGAATCATAAGGGGCATGACCAGCGACCGCATCACAATGTGGGCGGGCCGTCGACGGGTATCACTGACAAGGGCACGCAATGGTTCCTCATACAGTGGTTGCATTTGAGGTTCTGATTGGCTTCACTAAGGAACTGGGTGGGTAACCCGGGGGATTGTCTTGGTGGCCATTTGGTGGTCGTCCGTGGCCGCCCAACGTAGTTTACATTTGACATCTTGCACCACATAGCTTACATCGCATAGCGTGTACCACGTAGGCTGCACCACGGAAATAGCACCACATAGTTTACACCATGCATGCAATGTGCACCTGCTAGCTTGCATCAAATCCTTTACACCACGTAGATTGCACAACATATCTTGCACTGTATAGCTTACACCACATAACCAGCACCACATGGCTCACACCACATGGCTTACACATCCATGTGTTTTCTAAGTAATTGGGCCACGTACCTTGCACCACATACATCTTTCCACATACTGCATTGGTTACGGCACATACCTTGCACCACACAGCTTCCACCACACAGTTTGCACCACATAGCGTGCACCACGTAGCTTGCACATATGCAGTGCGATTGCTGTTTGGGGTCCACGCTGGTAAACATGTATGTCGCATAAAGCAGTGGAGACATTTTTCCGCTGGCGCCGCTGTTGCTCAAAGTTATGCGAGTGGTTCGCGGGATGGTAGTCGGCGAGTCGATGAGGTGTGTATGTGTGTTGTGTGTGTGGTGTGCGTGTGTGTGGCTGGCTTGGTGGGTGGGTTTGTGTGTTTGTGTGTGTGCGTGTGTGTTAGTGCGGGTGCTTGTGTTTATGTGTGTGGTTGTGTTTGTGTGCATGGTTGTGCTTGTGCTGTGTTTGTGGTTGTGTTTGTGTTTGTGTGTGTGGCTTTGTGTGTATACGTGTGTGTGTGTGTCTGTGTGTCTGTGCCTGTGTGAGTGTGGGTGTGCGTGTGCGTGTGCTTGTGCGTGTGCGTGTTCGTGTGCGTGTGTGTGTGGTTGTGTGTGTGCATGTTTGTGTGTGTTTCTGTGCGTGTGTTTGTGCGGGCATAACAACCTTTGTTATGCGGCACAATGTTCCAGGGGGGATGTGGCTTGTGATGCGTGCCCAGAAATGCGATTGCCGACCACAGGTGGTGAAAAATGTGGCCTTGGAGAAACCCCCTCTTGAGGATCCTTAGGTGGGGGGCTTCCAAAACGCACTTTCTGGCAGCACAGGTCCGGTGACCATTTGGGCTCAAGCTACTCTCGTCACACCTCTTCACTTTTCCCTCCCTCCCAAACCCTGGGAGAGAGGGGTCGATGTGTTGTTGTCGGGGTGGGCTGTTTTTCGGTGTGGCGGGGTTGGGGGGAGCCGCCTTGGGGCGCCCCTCGCCGTCCCTCTGTCGTCCACTGCGCGGTGGGACGAAGAGGGGGGTGGCGAGGTGGCTGCCTGGCTGAGCGTTCCGCCAACCCGCGCCTACTGAAGACGACCTACCCAAGGTAGGCGTCTAGTTTGTCCCAATGCGACGAGACCCTGGAACAATTGTGTGTTGTGTGGTGTAGTGTAGTGTGTTGTGGTGGTGTAGTGTGGTGCGGTGTGTGTGTGTGCTTGTGCTTGTGCTTGTGTTTGTGCTTGTGTGTGTTTGTGTGTGTGTTCGTGTGTGTTTCTTGTTGTGTTTGTGGTTATGTTTGTGTTCGTGTGAGTGTTTGTGTTCGAACGTGTGCTTGTGGTTATGTGTGTGCTTGTGTTTGTGATTGTTTGTGTGTGGTTGTCGTTGTGTTTGTGTTTGTGTTTGTTTGTGTGTGTGTTGGTGCTTGTGCTTGTGTTTGTGTTTGTGGTTGTGTGTGTTTTTGTTTGTGTTTGTGTTTGTGCGTGTGCTTGTGTTTGTGCTTGTGTTTGTGCTTGTGTTTGTGTTTGTGTCTGTGTTTGTGATTGTGTTTGTGATTGTGTTTGTGTGCTGTGTGTGTGTCGAACGGGTTGCAAAGTGGGCCGCGGGGTTGTATCGCGGGGTGGATCGTTGGTGGGTCGTGGATGAGTCGCGGGATGGGTTGCGGGGTGGGTTTGCGGGTGGGTCGCGGGGGTGGGTCGCGGGTGAATCACGGGGCGGGTCGTGGTGCGACGACGACAACAAGATGACCAAGAAACCGCACCGTGGACCCCCATTTCAGCGACAGTGCAAGACCAATAGGTCCCCGGTGTCTGATCATGTGGTTCTGTAATTGTGGGGTCTTCAGTATAGGAGGCCACGTATCATGTTGTGTTGACTGACCTAGACCGTGAGTGCGTACCGTCAATTGGCCTGCTAGTTGTTAGTTTGCACCAGCTTTTAAGTTTACCTCGTCCGAGTACTTGCATTCCAGGCAGTCCCTCCATCTCTCTGGAGGTGTGCTGTGCGTGTGGAGCTCAATTGCTACAGCTACCAAGTTACCACACCCATCACGCTTGAGGACACAATTGCGCCGAGTCGGTGACTTCCCTGGGAGTTTCAGCATGACGGTTCTAAAATACACAAATCGGATATCGCAATTGTCAAACACAGTGTTGGGAAAATGCTACACGCACACCGGCGTTACATATCAACATTGCCATTTCCCAACGTGCCCAACAGACATGTTTGCGCACTGACGTTTCTCTTAGCAGTGCGTGCACTACGGGCTCCAATCTGCCTTACTATGTAATTGGCGTGCGGTTCCAGGTTCTTGCCCAGTGGGCGCCCGTCGGCATCTCGTGACCCTCCCCGTGCGCTGGCTTTCGGTTCCGGACTTCCGGCCAGTGAGCGCCCGTGAGCGTGAGCCCCTCGTTGGCTGTCCGTGCGATGCTTGGCGGTTCTGGGTCTTTGGTCGGTGGGCGCCCGGGGGCACGTCGTGGGCGCCCCGTGCGTTGGCTGGCGCTTCCAGGGGTTGTGCGGTTGGTTGTGCGGCCGTCGCCGTCGTTGTCGATGGGTTGCGTGGTATGTTGAGCGTTGGGTCTCGCCGTGGGTCGCGAGTTGGGTTGCGCGTCGTGTTTGTCGGTCTTTGCCTACTGGGTTATCACGCATAAAGGACCACAATTGGGCGTTTAATGCACAGCAGATTCCACACAGGGGACTGTCGCTGGTACCTCGCGCCAGTGAGAAGCAGTGGAAACTTGATACCATTTGTGATGGGCCCCCAGCCCCTAGCTACTGGCGATTGTACATTCAGCGCGTTTGCCCCCCGCCCCCCGAAGTCGTCCCATACCTTTTTGCATCGCCTTGGCCCGTTTACCGTTTGTGATGGGCCCCCAGCCCCTAGCTACTGGCGATTGTACATTCAGCGCGTTTTTGCCCCCCGCCCCCCGAAGTCGTCCCATACCTTTTTGCATCGCCGTGGCCCGCTGGCTCTCGATAGCTGATCCCCACCTGCACTGTGCTGCCCTGTGGCTTTTCTTGAGCATGACAAGGCAGTGAAGCCATGGAGGGGAAGGGGAGCAGTGGGATGATGAGGAGGAGAAGGAGGAGGAGAAGAAGAAGAAGAAGAGGATGAGGAGGAGGAGGAGGAGGAGGAGGGCGAGAGGGACGGAGAAAGAGGACGACGACGACGAGGAGGAGGACGAGGACGATGATGAGGACAAGGAGGATGAGGAGGACAAGGAGAGCAGGAGGACGAGGAGGAGCAGGAAGGAGGACGGGAGAAGAAGGGGTGGGGAGAGGGCGAGAGGGGGGGGAATGGAAGAAGGGAGAAGGAGGAGGAGAGCGAGGAGGAGGAGGAGGAGGATGAGGATGAGGAGAAGGATGGGGGCGAGCGGGCGAGAGGGGGGAAGAGGAGGAGAAGGAGGATGAGGAGGAGGGAGGAGGACAAGGAGAAGGAGGAGGACAAGGGGGAGGAGGAGGACAAGGACAAGGAGGAGGAGGAGGAGACGAGGACGAGGACGAGGACGAGGACGAGGACGAGGACGAGGAAGAGGGCGAGAGAGCGAGAGAGGAGGAAGAGGAGGAGGAGGAGGAGGAGGAGGAGGAGGAGGACAAGGAGGAGGGGGAGGACAAATGGTGACGAGGAGGACAAGGAGGACGAAGAGGAGGAGGAGGAGGAGGAGGAGGAGGAGGAGGAGGACGAGGACGAGGAGGACGAGGAGGACGAAGAGGATGAGGAGAAGGAGCAGGAGGAGGAGGAGGAGGAGGGAGGGAGGGAGGGAGGGAGGGAGGGAGGAGGAGAAGGCGGAGGAGAAGGAGAAGGAGGAGCAGGAGGAGCAGGAGGACGATGAGGAGGAGGGGGAGGAGGGGACGAGGAAAAGGGAGAAGGAGGAGGCGGGGGAGGAGGAGGAAGAGGAGGAGGAGGAGCGGGGGAAGGAGGAGCAGCAGCAGCCGCAGAGGGGCCGCAGCCTGCGGGCCAAGGCCTCCTGGCCTGCTCCTGCTGGGCCTGCTCGCAGGCCAGGGCCCCGGAGCCTGGGGCGGGGGGGGCACCTCGGAGTCGCTGGAGCGACCTCCGCGGAGTGGCGCGCGACCGTCATTCTTCTGAGCGGAGGGTGACATAAATCGGCGGCGAGCGAGGGGGGGAAGTCGGAGGGAGGAAGCCTTCTCAGAAGGCGGCGGGGCTTCTCAGAAGGCCTCAGGCCTTCTGAAAAATTCTCTGTGCCTTCGGGGCTGCTTGGGCAATTCCCTAGAGGACCCGAGCACTTCCGAGCCTTCTGAGAAGGCCCGCCCCCTCTCACTTCCCCCCCGGGCTGGCCGCCGAATACACATAGATATTCGGAGGTCCGCGCGGATTTCTTGGATCGGAGTTGCGCCCCCTTTCCTGGCGCCCAGAGCGCGCCAGAGGCGCCGCCAAGGGGACCCAGTACCGATTCAAGAGATCAGAGCGGGCCTCCGACAGTTCATGTTGATGCCATCCCCTAGAAACTGACGTTGCGCGCGACGGGGGTAGTGAGAGGGTTGGAGGTCAAGAGGCATGGAGGTGAGACTGGGCGCGGCGACTATAGGAAGGCGAACAGCGTTGTGCCGATCCGCGCAGCGTCATTACTCACGTCGCTCTCTCCCACATGATATGCCGAACAGCCTCCTGGGGAGGTTCCAGAGGTCGGAAATAATCCGCTGAACTGGTTGCGTGACTCCCCGACAGGCCCTTCAGACCCAGGGAGAGAATGTCATCGACCACATATGCAAGAGGCTTGCGCCATTCCGCCGACCCCCAGACGAAGTGAGGCTGTGTGGGCGTCTTGGTGGGCGTCTTGAAGCCTCAATTTTCTGGGCGCTTGCGGGCTGTTCCTTGGACGCCGTCGCGCCCATGGGACGCCTTCAAGTGTCATGTCCCACTCCTTGCCAAGGGCGCACCAGTTCGACTGAGCCGCTCCGAGTAGGTTATGGTCCCGTTCTGTCTCTTTCTCCTGCGGCGGGCGGCTGCCCGCGGTGGGGGTCAGAAGTCCGTGACTGTCGGGCGCCGTTGCTGACCACCTTCTCTAGACCCACATCGGCCACGCGCAGACGGGGGTAGGGGGAGGGGGGAAGACTTCTTGGAAGCACCCTGCTTCTTAGAAGGCGCGGGCCTTATCTATAGATGCAGGGCTGGCGTCCTCTAAGAAGCAGCCTCCTCCCAAGAAGCTTTCCCCCCTCCTGCGCGCGCCGCCGACCACAGGCTTGGTCCGCGCACGATCTGTTCTCGCTTTACCCGAGCTAGCGCCCAGGGCAACGTCCGAAATCACACAGATCGTGTCGTCCATCAGGTGGGCACGTGCGCACACTCTTGCGGACTCATCTCGTCGCCATCGACGGCGTGTACACGTGCGAGTGGGAAGAGTGGCAATGCAATAACTGTAGCGTGTCGAACCCCGGGAGGCATCCGGTGCCTCCCCTGCCCCCCATCAGAGGAAATCGGAATGCTTCTGGCACCGGGGCCGGGGCGGAGGCGATGTGCCCCGCAGAGGCCCGCGGAAGATTTCCTCGGCGGGCGCTCAGGGAGTCCTACACCTCAGGCGATGCTTAAGAAAACTGAAGCTTTCGGCCAGAGTCTCGATTATTCTTAATGTTTCAGTGTGAATCCTAAGATTTTGATGAAAACGTTGGGTTTTTATTGAAGTTCTGAGACTCTGAGTTTCTTAGCCCATGATTTCTTAAGCATTTCGCAGGGTGTACCCCAGATGGGTCGAGGGAGAAGTGCATCAGCTTTGAATGCTGGGGGCGTTTTCCACCGTTGCTGGGGCGCTCCTCCGCCGCGTGTCTACACGCGCACCTGCTCGGATCCCAGGGAGATTCCTTCGGGACTCCCTCCTCAGATTCCGCCGAGGTTCCTTGAAGTTTCCTTTGAGGTCCCGCTGTTTGTTTTGCCATGGCATCCTCTTAAGATTTCTTCGAAATCAATTTAGGGTGCCTTGGAGCCTTGGAGGGTCCTTTGAGATTCTCGTGCGTTCTGGGCCGCCACGGCGCCCACGGAGGCCCTTGAATTACTTGATGCACGAAGATGGGCTCCGACAGCGTAGGGTCGGACGATGCGGTCTAGGGCTTCATTTCGATTCGTCGCTCGTTCTGCCCCCTCCGCGATGTTCCCCGAAAGGGCTCGGGAATAGTAGGAGTCGGCCTCGATGAATGAGCGTCGCGCTTACTCCTGCAGAAGCTGAGTGGCAAGCTGAACGGCCGCCGTGTGGGGTGGCCAGAATGCGTCCCCGAAGTTTCGGCCACGTTCGCAGGACAGCCATTTGGGATTTTTCTCTGCCGTGTTCGGGCCTGGAGGTTCTGATGGGCGCGTGGATCCCAGAGCGCGGGCTGTTACTAATGAAGCGGCATGTTTTCTGCGTAGCCCTCATGGCTCAAAGTTTTCTGGCCTACATCGCCCCCATCCACCGCCCTCTGCCCTCGAGCTCGAGGGTTGATGCTCCAAGCTTGGGGCTAGCAGGTCCCGAACTCCCAGATCGGGATTCCTGGTCTAGTTTTTCTCGTGGCCGGGCATCTGTAGTCCAAAGGGAGGTTTGGATCCCAGTTCGGCGCCTGGGATTCCTGTTTCCCCTTTTTCCAATGTGGAAAATGGCATGAATTTGAAATAATTAACATGTCACGGGAAAAGGGGGAGACAACGCGTGTCTACGAGCCGACATTGGTAGTTTCAGGTTCGTGGGAATGTGTTGAGAGGTTATTTTGTTATTCCAGTGGTGCCCATTTCAAAGTATGTTGAGGTTCCCTCGATCTTCCTTTGCGCACTGGACTGCCGCGGCGACCATTGGGGCCTGTGACCCGTTTGATGTTCAAAAATATGTTGCCATATCGCAGTTGTTTGCGAAAGCCTTCCGTAGACCTTGTCCTGTGGGAGTTTCAATGCCTGCAGTGGTTTCTTAATATGGATTGCCTAAGTCCACGCGAGCCCGCGCCTTCACATGCTTCTGCGGCCACTTGCGACTACTCAGTTTTTCGGTTTCCTGGCGAGGTCTTGCGCTTTCGTAGTGGTCCTGAGGCTTCCTACGCTTTCCCCTTCGCTTTCCCATGCGTTCACTCAGCGCTGGGGAATACGGCGGCCTGCACGTCGCCACCTTTGATCATGCTCCGCCCTGAGCCGCTGCTTCCCCTCTGAACGTTTGCGTGGCTACATTTGTTTGGTTGGTTAGTTTGTCGGCTTGTCGGTTGGATGGCTGGCAACTGATTTGCTTGCAGTCTCGATAGATGGTTGGCAGTTGGTTTTGGAAGGTTGCTGGCTGGCAGATGGCGCGCATCTGCAGCAATAGATCCAGTTGCGCTGCCGCGCATATCTGCCACCGCGCTTGCGAGAGAGGCCCAGCGAGGCTGCAGTGCGGCAAGGCATGCACTGAATTGCGCGACGCACCGACTGCACCACACTGATCGAACCACTCACAATGCACCACACACGTTGTACCACGTTGCGGCCACTTGGGAACGCGCCGTTGAAGGTGCACAAGCAAGGGGCGTTAAAAAGAAAAGCAGCCTGTGTCGGTGAAGGTGGACAGGAAACGGACATGAACATAAGACGCAGCCTTTGTCGAAGTTGCTTGATGTGTGTGTCGATGCCCTCACGGGGCCTCTCGAGAGCCTCTTCGGGGCTTTCTTCGGTTCTCTCAGGGATTTCTCGGGGCTTCTTGGGGGCTTCTCGGGGGCGTCGCGGGGCCTCGTGGGGTCACTTGACGATCTCGTGGAGCTTCCTGGTGCTTCTTGGGAGGCCTCGTGGAGCTTCTTATAGACGTCTTGGGGCCTCTTGGGGCCCATGGGGAGCCTCTGCGGGGCCTCTTGTGGGCGTCGCGCGGGCATCCTGTGCCGTCCTGGAGCAGTTGAAAGGAAATCTGGGGCCGCCGTGGACGCTGAGAAGACGAACGAGGTGTGAACATGAAAGCCTGCAGGAATCAGGATTCTTGCCTCGTTGCGCCTCTCGTGGGCGTCATGGGAGGCGTCTTGTTGCCCGCTTGGGCGTTATGGAGCCCCATAGCGTCAATTTTGGAGGGATCGTGGGGCTGAGTTGCTTTGCGCTGGGGAGGAAACATTGGAGGGATCGTGGGGCCCCGGTGGAGACCATCTGGTCCGACTGGGGGGGCAAGACGCGCCGCCACGGGAAAACGGAAACAGAGGAGGAGGCGGGAAGGCGCCCGGGAGGGGGTAACGTCCACGGACGTTTGCGCCCTTTTACTTAGTAATTGAGCTCATTTTCTGATGGGGAAGCCAAAATTGCAGGGACGTGCATCCAAACATGTGTGCGCGTTGGGTTCGATACATCGTGGGGGGGGTGATAACTGCTCCGCGCGACGTAATGTATGAAAAAGGAAAGGCCCGACACACGCTGCAATCGCGGTGGCGGATAAGAGGTGGTGGCTTCGGGAGCACGGATCCTTCGCTACCTTGGTGGATTCGTGGCCTCGTGTCCGGGGCCCGATTTCCAGGAATTGATGGGAGGAGGTGCGAAAGGGCCCCCCCCCCCCCCCCAAGCATGAATCCCAATGCAGAAGGTCATGGCTTTCCGGCTCTGGAGAGGGGGGCGGGGGGCTTTGGGGGCAGACTCCGTGGAGTGGGTTCGGGCTTCGGGAGCGCGAATTTGTAGCAATCAACTAGGGATTGTCCGTTTGGGGGCCGCAGCGTATTCAATTACACCAGATTGTCACCTCGGGAGCACGAAAGCGCCGTAGGTTACAATGGGTTGTGGCTTCGGTAGCGCGAACGCGCCGTAATTTACACAAGGATCGTGGCCTCGGGAGCGCGAGAGTGCGATACTTTACTTCGGAGTGTGGTTTCGGGGGCGCGAGCGCGTTGTAATTTACACGGGGTTGTGGCCTCAGGAGCGTGAGCACATCAGATCCTACGATCTGGGAAGGTATCGGAGGCTGTCTTGGCGCCCTGGTGGCCTGGTCTGGACCGAGGTATCGGATCGAGGTCGGCTCGGCCAGGGAGGTCATTGTGTTTTTCGTGTTTGTTGGATGCCCTTGTGCATCCTGGGGAGGGTACCCTCGGATGTTCTGTTTGTGTCGGCCGACAGAGTGCCTCATGTTCTTGAAGAATGTTCTTCAGGAGGGGAAAAAACACACAGACACAATTAATCGGCGATTCCCAGAAAATATAAGAAAATATGGGAAGTGGGGGGGGAAGACAAAAACCCAGAAAATATGGGAAAAGATTGAGGATATGTTTATTTGTGTGTATTTATTTGTGTGTCCCAGTTCCCCTTCAGTTCTTCAGGCCTAGGTCGGACTGGACAACAACACACCAGACAGCACTTAACATCTCAGCACGCCTACACCGTGCCAGGGGGTACGATGACGAAACGCTCGATCTGCAGTGCAACTGCCGGCAAAGTGCGCGCGTGCTCTTGCCCAGGGCCGCCGCGGAAGCTGCATATATCGGAGTCTCCGTCAGAGAGTCCAGGGAGATGCTTCAAGATTCGGTCGTCCCCAGTATAGCAAGAGGACTGGCCGCCAGGATGCCTTGGGATGCCGAGGGAGCCTCTAGGAGTTCTGCAGGGATCCCGAGTGCTCCAAGAGAAATGCAAGGGATGCCTCGAGGGCTTGGAAAGCCATACGCTCGAGGGAGGCAGGATGCTCGCCAACCCCTTTACCGCCACCTGTGTGTGCTTCCAAGGGCGCCCTCGAGGGCGCGAAGTTATTCGCGCTTCGCGCTTCGCGGTCCTCGTTCCTTCTCCCCCTCCTCCTCGTCCTCCTATTCTCCTTCTGGGAGGGCGGCGCGAGAGCGCGAAGTTATTCGCGCTTCGCGCAGCGCGAAGCGCGAAGTTGGGAGCCCTAGTTTACCGCCACTGTGTGTGCTTCGGGGATTCTCCCAGCAGTCCATCGCGATCACTCCAGGCAGCCTGCACCTCTGACCAGCTCATCCACAGCCAGATCGAGTGAGCGAGCGCCTGCAACCTCGCACAAGTGCGAGTCACAAGTGTTTCGGGGGGGGGGGGGGGGCCGAGCCATTTTGAGAAGTGTGTTGCAAAGGTTTGGACACATGCTTCGCTCGCCTCTGCCATGGACTGGGCCGGAGGGGCTTGCAGACTTCAGATGAGGCGCACTTCTCTGGCCTGTCGCCTTCCCTCGTCGTGCTTGTTCTTTCGGTTGCCCATCGCCATTCTCCCGCCTCTTCCCTTACCCCGTCCTCCCCACTCTTCTCCAAGACTCTGGTGGAACTCTCGCGACAGTGCGTTTCTGGCAGCGCGAAGCGCGACGGCTGGCTACGCGGCTCCGTGGAAAACGGTTGGCCGATGAGATAACGAGATCATTCGCCCCCTATCGGGCATGACGAGAGGAGCCGTCACGCTTCTATGTGTGGTCTCAGCCGTCACGTCGCTTCTGGAAGCATTTGTACTTAAGTGTGCTAATGTGATCCAGCCTCTCCCGTCACCCCTGCCGCTCACAGCGCTCACCCCTACGCCGACGATCGAGATGGGAGAAGCCAGCTGCGAATCTGGTCAAGAGGCCTTGGTCTCGAGCTCAGTAAACTTGGAGTGTCAGGAGCGATGGACACGCGTTCAGTATCGACTGGATGTAGTGGATGATTGGCGCTATGTGTATCCCCACCAGCCCATCCAGAAGTCAGACCGAGGCGAGTTCCTCGCACCTCTGGAGTCCGAAAAGTTGCCTCTTGGATCCCTCTTGGGGCGCTCTTAGAACGATATGAGAGCCCTCTTGCGCAACTCTTCGGGCGCACGTGGTCGCTCTCAGAGCAGTCTTGGGGCTCTCTTGGGGCACATTGGTGCCATTGTGAGGTTTCAGAAGCCCGCCGCATGCGAAAAGGCGACACGGCAACTGTCATTGGTAATGTTTGGGTCTGGAACGGGTGTTGGCCTGTGGGGGGGGGGCATTTTAGGAAGGCTCCATGCGATTTGGGGCAGTCGACTGTCTTGGGGCGGTTTTGTTGCCTCTTACAAGCATATTAAATGGCACCTTGTGCCATCCTGGACCATGTTACGCCATCGTGGATGGGCACCTTAAGCTACCCTACATGGACCCATCTTGAATCAATGCTGGCCCAAACGCCGCCCACTGATGCCCCCAGGATGGCAGAACATTTGACCAACCAACATGTGTTCTATGAGCTTGGTGTTGGGCAATGAGGCCCCTTATCAGCCCCGCCCCCCTGGAGCCCTCCCAAACCGCGTCTTGGGGCCTCTTGATGCAGTGTTGGGTCCCTCTTGGGCCCCTCTCGGGGGCTCTCTTGGGCTATCGTGGAGTCATCCTGAGGCTTCAGAACAACATTGGAAGCGAAAAGGCGAGACGGCCAACGTCATCGAGGTTTCTCCGGTTTGGGAAGGGCAGTGTCAGGCTAGGGGGCATCACCGGTAGGCACGATGGCCACTTGGAGCAGTTTTGGGGCAGTCTTGGGCATCATGCGTGCACTGTTGGCTCCCATCTAGAGCCATCCAGTCAGCGTGCCTAGTAAGGACGCGCGCCTTCATCTAGGGTACCCTTGTGTCCTTGCCTCTGCGGCCCGTCCTTTGCCGTTTTGATTGGTCGCCCGCCGCCCCAAAAAAAACAATTTCGGCCTCCAAGGTTCCTGTGTCCCTCTCGCCCGTCCTTGCTACACGTTTTGACTGTCATCTGGAGTGGTTTACCCGATTGGAGGCTTCATAGGGCCATGTTGGAGCCACCTTGGGCCATACTGGACGCCCTAGTGCGCGCGACACCATGGTCCATACCCTCAGGAAGGGGAGGAGTACACGACCCCTCCGTCCAGGGAAAGCAGGGGGTTGGAAGCGGAATCGACTAAACGACCTCAGCCCAGAGTGTTGGTGGGATTACGTGGACCTGTTTCATTCACAGACGTTGTCAAAGGATAGCGAGTCCGTGGCTTCAGATCATCTTGTAATAGAGCATTGGTGTGGGGATCTGAGGCGAAGACTGTGATGGGAATCGCGGGCGGCTCCGACTACCAGCTCGTATCCACCTTCTGCTTCACTTTCCCTGACGCACGACCAGGTTTCGAATTTGACCCCCATGCCCACCCTTGCGCACGATAAATACGTTTCTACACCTGACCCTGCAAGTTGTGAACAATTGGCAGCTATTCACGTATCCCTACCCTGTGATGTCGTTCCGCAAACATGAGGTGGGGGCACACATCGGTATGGCACTATCCCACATTATGAATATGGCTTGCCGCACGCCATGCAGCAGAAACACCAAGTCTAAACACTTGCGCGTAATGTTGGCAGGTGCGAGCAGGGGGCAGCACCAATGTTGTTTTCAAGTGATGGGATACGTAATCGCGCGATGCGCGTTTCGAAACTCCGCATGCTGCCAACAGGTAGAGATCCAAAAGTGTCGCGCCACAGACATTGAGCATGCCAGTATGTGTACCTGCGCACTTTGCTGTTATCGTGTTTGGCTCATTGGCGGTCTAGCTCGCTTCAACTTCTCTCTATTCCTGTGTGTTGCCCTACATGTTCTTTTTGTTGATCGCAAGTCGTCGCAATATGCACCCGAACGGCGCAGGAGGGAGAGACAGAGATAGAGACAGAGGTGCGCACATTGTGACCGCGACAGAGACAGACGAACAGGTAGACGGAGACAGCAGAGACACCAGACGAGAGAGATGAAAGACAGAGGTGCACAGACGCGCAATGCTAGCGGCGAGTTCGACTTGACGAGCGGGTCAGAGGCGAGTGAGATGAGCCAGGCAGTGCGCCAGCAGCCGAAGGCACCGCTGGAGCGACGGAGCCATGCGAAGACCAGGGCGCAGAGTGGAGTCTTGAGGCGGGGGCCAAGACAGTCGGGGATCCACGCGTTCGGCTCGACCCCCTCCTCAGAGTCATGCTCGGCGCCCGGGGCAGAGCTGGGGCACCCGCGTCGAGGGCCCGACGCGAGCTGCAGACGTGTGGCATCGACTCCCCGACGGGTCTGCGGCGGGCCGAGCTGCGGCCTCCGAGCACGGGCTCGGTCTGGGCCGGGGCTCCGCCGGGGCTCGCGGGGCTGGCGGGGCCCGCGAGGCGAGAAGCAGGCGAACGGGCACATCCACTCGCAGACGATCGTCTCGACGAACAGTCACAAGTTCCTGGTCCTCAACCAGACGGAGCTGCAGCAAGGCTCCCCGCCTCCGCTCGCGTGGCCCCCTTCTTTTCTCGAGATCCCACGGGAGATGCTAGACACGGCATGAGGTGTGGACGCGGGGTCGTAGATGTGTGTTTGATGGGCCAGGAGCTTGCATACATGTCACCCAGGCGAAGACGGTGGCCAGCGATTTGGCACTCCATTAGCCTCGAGCCCAGGGATACTTTGGCAGTCGTAGTTATCCTGCCTCGTCTTCAACCTCCGTGTGGCTCAAAGCCCCCCCGATCTTGAGGGAAGCTCGGCTCGAGAATGCGGTCCACGGCGACCGTGGGGACAATCCTCGGCTCCGTCGCCCGCGGGGTGTTTTTCCGCTCGGGTGCGGCGTGGGGCCTCTGTTGGGAAACCTCAGGGGTCCTGGAATCATGGCTCGAGGGGTGGGCTCCCAGCGGTGTGGCGGGCTGTCGGGGCCCCTCTCGGGCCACATTTGGGGCCTCCTGGGCCCTTCTTGCGGGCGCCTTGGGCAGTACGTGGGCCTGTCTTGGACGCTCGTGCGACCGCAGCGAGAAGGGAATGCCCAGAGCACACAGGCACCGAAAGGAATCAACACACTGCGAAAGCCTCACGGCCCGCGCCGCCGACCCTGACGGCGACAACGGCGACGGCGGCGGCGACGACGAAGCTGACGTGGGCCAGAGGGATGCTTCCAGGGGTCTCTTCGGAAGGCTCTCGGGGGGCTCTGGGGAGGAATTGAGGGGCCTCTTGGGGGCCACTTGGAGCCTCCTTCGGAGCCTCACGGGGCCTCGTTGCGTTGGGCTTCCTGGGGCCTCTTGTGGGCCTCTTGGGGGCCTCTTCGGAATCTCTTGGGGCCTCCTGGGAGCCTCTCGGGGCCGAGGGCTCGAAATGTCCGTTCGGGTCCCCCGTCTGGGCACGCTCTTAAAGCCGTCTTGGAGGCCTCTTGGGCCGTCTTGGAAGCGTTGTGGTGTGTCTTGGGGTCCTCTTGGGTTGGGGGCCCTCTTGGAGGCCTCTTGGGCCGTTTTGGGGCGATCTTGGGGGCATCTTGGGCCGTCTTGGAGCAGCGGGGAGCGGAAAAGGTGAGAGCGCCAGAATCCAGGAAAAACCATAAGGTGTGGCTTTCTCGGGAGCGTCTTGGCGGCCTCCGGGGCAGTCTGGAGGGCGTGACTGCGTTTTGGACCGATAGTTTTGCGATTGGGGGCTTTCTTGGACCGCCTCGTGGGCCTCTGGTACTTCCAGAGGCCCTGGGGGCCCCCAGGGAGTGCGTATCTGACCCCCCCTCCCCACCCTCCGAGACCCACCCGCCGACGGGGGAGGGATTAAATGGAAGGGGCTTCCCCTTCGACACATTGTTAGATTTTTCTCTCGCTGACAGGCTTGAGGAAGAGGGCGCAGGGAAAGGAGACGACGGAGACGACGGCTGACGGAGACGACGACTCGAACAGAGAAGCCCCTCACGCACGCCGACAGGGTCGACGGATTGGGGCATCTTGGGCTGGCCCCAGAGACCTCCAAGGCGGCCCGCGAGACTCCCGAGAGTGCCGTGGTTGGCCCCGCCCCAGGAGGTTCAAAGATAGCCGGCGAGTTCGCCCGAGTCACTCCATGCAGGGGGGGGAGGCGTACACCTTGGGCGATGGTTAAGAAAACCCAAGTTTTCGGCCAGAGTCTCGATTATTCTTAACGTTTCAATGTAAATCCTAAGATTTGAATGGAAATTTTGGATTTTTATTCAAGTTCTGAGACTATGAATTTCTTAACCCATGATTTCTTAAGCATCTCGCAGGGTGTAGAGGTACACCACCTCCCCCGCAATGCCCTCCTCCTCCCCGCCCCCCTTCCGACCCCCCCCCTGGGGAGACCTCCCCCCTCCCCGGCGGGGAGGGGATCACCTGGAACGGGTGTCCTTTTTCGACTCGATTGCGACCGGCGTCGATTCACCTCGGGCTGGCGAGCTTGGGGATCCCCAGATCGCCGCAGAGAGTCGCAGGCGATTTCTCTCCCCCAATCCCCGACTTCCGCCAGAAAAGTTTGGTCGCTCAGAAAAGGGGAGGAATCTTGGGATACATCCCGAGGGGGCTATTCGGACGCACCCCTGTCGGGGATGGACGCCCCCCCCTCGTATATCCCAGGGTTGGGCCCCAAATTGTTGATCCTCTCGAAAACCCCACGAAGCCTGGGATAGGGGTCGACATATCCCCTGTTAGAGAGAGGGAAAGGGACGGAAAAAAGCGTCTCCCTGGACCCTGGGCCACCCTTGGACGGCCACCCCGGAACTCTCCTGCGGACACGCCGGCCTGGTCAACTGATCGATGAGATGCAGTGTGGCTAGGCCAAGCGGATGCGCTCATGTCGATGTTCGTGTCCAGGTGAAGTCGGGCCAAAGTGTTGAGCGTTGGCAAGATGAAGGCCTGAAGAGACCACAGGAGCTAGATGCAGTTCGATAGCAAATGGTCGCGAGATCCGAGAACTGGCCTGGCGAAGGCCCCCCCCTTCTGCGTCTGAAGGCAACGCAGGGCGTGGCCCTCTCCTCACGTCCTACACGCCACGGGATGGATAGAGCTCGGGTCCCCGAGGGGCATGGTCTGCGTGGGCGGTGTGCCAACATGTGCGCGGGACGCCATGCGAACATACTTGCTGATGGACAGCCGCAGGTGGAGCTCCCTAGGAGGGGGGGTCACGATCCGCGTGAGGGGCGTGCCGAAATGGCCGCACGCGAACGCACCTACTGGGGCCATACGTGGAGCTCCCTATGGAGCCACAGTCTGCGTGAGCGGTGTGCCAACATGGGCCCGGCGACACCATGCGAACGCACCCATTGGGGCCATGGGTGGAGCTCCCTCGAGGGGGGAGGGGGGGGGGCACAACTCGCGTGAGGGGCCGCGGCGGCGCCGTGCGAAAACACTCCTAGGAGCTCCCCTATAGGAAACGCTTCGCGTGGGGGGTGTCCGAGTTGGGCGCGGGGACGCCACGCGGACGCGCCACTGGGGCCATGGGTGGAACTCCCAATTGGGCACGATCCGTGCGAGGGGTGTGCCGAGATGGGCGCGGGGACACCATGCGAACGCACACAGTATGGCCATACGTGGAGCTCCCTGTGGCCCATACGAAGCTGCACGTATGGCCCCACAGGCAAGGGGGGTCACGGTCTTCTCGGCCCCCCTCGGCTTGTAGAAAAAGCGTGCCGACATGGGCGCTTCGGATTCAAGACGAGGAACCAACACACAGGAGGGGCGGGAAGGCCACGCTGAGCAAGGAGCGGGGAGGAGGGGGAGCGGGAAGGAGGTAGGGGGACAAGGTGAGAAGGAGGCGTGCTCGCGGCGCAGTGAAGAGAACAACACAGGAGGGATGGGAAAGAAAGACCAGCACTCGCGGACGCGAGAAGAAGGCCGATCTGGACGATGCGTGCGTGGCTGGGCTGGCAATCGCAACTTGGGGCCCGTAACAACATCAGCAAGCTGACAGTAAATCATGGCGAATGCTTGGCCAAAAACAATAGTACAACTTCATGCTACAATGTGTTAATTTACTGGCACGATGTCGTCCGGTTGTCGATTGTGCCCTTCATCCTCGTGAAGCGACATTTTTACATGTCCGTCTGGAGTCCACAGTCTCAGCGTGCACGATTGTGTACCCCGAAGATCTAGCAGGGCATTGACGGAATCATTGTTCTTTGTGAGGCGCCGGACGGACTCTGCCTATATTTACATGAACGTTTCTCGTCCGCGCCAGCGTCTTCGTTTCACCAGGGATAAAGATGCGATGACGGTCTCGCGGCCGGACGGCCTGACGACTCCATAGTCGCACATTTGACGCTGGCATCGGGTCGTGAGGGCCGTGATGTATAGAAACAGAGATTCAATTCAACCCTCCTCGAACATTGCGTGCACGAGGGGGACGGCAGTACTAGGTTGATTCATGTGGCTCAAGGCGCGTAGTATCGACCAGCATTGTTTTGACCCGCCCTGGGCTCGCGTGTGTGTGATCAACACGACATCCGCGTGAACAGAGATCGCGACCTTCTGTGCCAGAGCATTCCAGGCCGAAAGAAAAAAAAAACCTCCTCAAACACTGCGTGGACCATCCGGGGTTCCCACTTCTTCGCCGGAAGGAGCTGGATGCGGAAGCCCAGGCTTCGCCCCTCCTCCTCCCTCCTCCTCCCTCCTCCTCCCTCCTCCTCCCTCCTCCTCCCTCCTCCTCCCTCCTCCTCCCTCCTCCTCCCTCCTCCTCCTCCCTCCTGGGCGCCCCGTGCGCTGGCCGGGTCTGCCAGGCGTCCGCCTGGTGGGTGGTCGTGGGCGCCTCGTGGGCGCCCCGTGTGCTGGCCCGGTCTGCCGAGGTTTCGCCGGGCGGGCGGCCGTGGGCGCATCGTGGGCGCCTCGGGATGCTTGCGTCGCACAGCTCGCTTCGGGTCCTGGTCCGTCCCTCGCTTCTTTCGGCCCTTCTTCGGGCCCCTCGCTCGTCGTTTCGGCGCCACGGGCAGGAGTGTTCGGCAGACGATCACCCGCGCGCAAATCAAGATCAAAGGCTGACACCACCTCGCTTGCACGGCGTTGCGTATGTCGCATAGCTTGCTCCGCAGACCTGTCGCCAGAGAAGCTCCGCCACATGAGCTGCACCGCGCATCGTTTGTGCCACGTTGCTTGCACCACAGTCCTTACATCAGGTTGATTGCACCACGCACAGCTTGCAGCACGCAGCTGTTTTCCCGATAGCCTGCACAGCATAGCTTGCACACCCAAGATGCAAGCGAGCTGTTAGGGTTCCACGCTTGCAAACACTTGCTAGCCAGATATGCCACACAATTGTTCGAGGTCAGTGGGTGAGTTGCCGCGTGGCCACTTTTCAGCCATGCAAGTCGTTCAGAGCTTGTAGATTCAAGCGTTGGAGCTGGTAGTTGCCCCCAGCCAAGCAGGAATTTGACTACGTAGTTGTCTTACGTTCTCCTTCACTAATCTAGCCTGGGCACAGTGCCAGCCATCTGGATATGTATCCCGCACTTCTACTTCACAACCAGGTTGATCATCACAACATGTGCAGCGCACGCTCTGCAGCAAGCATTTATCGAGATAGACTGCGCAGCGTAGCACCAACAGCTTCCCGGGGCGTACGTGCCCTAGCTGAGACCCCCCTCGAGTTGTTGGAGCGAGGGCAAACAACATCATGTCCAGTGCAAGTTAGATAATCGGGCACACACATACGTCAAGCTAAGACCTTGTCATAGTCCTGTCCAGGTGGGATCCGTGCAATCGTCCAAGCGCGCAGTTTGTTGCAAGGCAAGGGCAACGTATTAGCCCATCGCCTCGCCCTAGTTTAAGTTTGTACCAGGCGCCATCTCCCGCAATGTCGCGCAGATTGGCCACATCTCAGCCACCGCATTCCTTGATCTCTTTCGCTTTGCTCCTCGCGCTGCAATCTCGGAGTATGAGGATCCCCCCTGTGCGGCATCTCACTTACCTTGGTGGTGCCAAAAATGCCCAGCCTCAGGTGATACGTATAGTTCATCACATACATCTGGATACTGCTCCCCCGGGCTCAACCATCAGAATCGCCACCTGCAGTGTACGTTCCATTTCCGCCGCATTTTATGCGAAGCGGCCGGATCCCGCCCGGCTCGCCGGCAGCCCTTTCCGACCTCTCCCCCCAGAGGCCTGCCCTGCGAGGAGCTCGTGAGGAGGGCGAAGGCCGGCCGCGACGCCTCCCCCTCCCGTGCCAGCACCACGTGCCTCCGCGCAACGGACAGGACGGGCCCTCCTCCTCCTCCTCCTCCTCCTCCTCCTCCTCCTGCTCCTCCTCCTCCTCCTCCTCCTCCTCCTCCTCCTCCTCCTCCTCCTCCTCCTCCTCCAGTGCCGCAGGGGCCTCAGCCCCTCTCCAAGACCCCCGACGTCACGGCCGCGTCTGCGCGCCATTCGCCGCCCCCTCTCCTTGTCCTTTTCCGTCTTGAAGGTTGCAAGGGATTGCTTTTCACAATCGCCTCGGCATCGCTGCTGGAGGCTCTTTGAAGGCTCAAGGCATCTCCAGGAGAGCACCGGGAGGTTCCCAGAGGGCCCCCAAGAGCATTCACAGGAGACCTCCAAGACATTGCTCCAGGAGGGCTCCCAGACGCTCCAAGAGGGCCCTGCAAAGACATCCTTTGTGACGGTGGAAGACGTGTAAGAGGTCAGTCCGGATAGGTTCCAGGATCTGGCGGGGGGCATTCGCACCATCAGCCCGACATAATGTCAGAATTGGGCCATCCCGAATAGATCATACATTTGAAACCCATTGCTTCATAGTAGGTAGACTCGAGATTCAAAGGTTGGATTGTCGTTCCATACCCTTAACCTGAAATTTCCCAAAGTCGGTGTTGACCGTGCGAATGCCATTGCCATCGCCTGAATATGTTCTAGTGCTGCTTTGTCCGCGCCACTCCCTTACGCCCTGTGCACAAATATCACACAAGCACATTGGAATCCCATAGTTTTGGCCCCGGCACGTGGGCAACATGCCGCATCTTGCGCGCTGTGTGCGGAATCCCTCGTCCGAAAAAAGGACAGCGCAGAAAACGACGTGTGCTCCTGGGTCGCGCTAGACCAGCAGGGAAAGATGAGCTCTAGGACCGGGCGTGGAAGGAGCGGCCAGTAAGAGGAGAGGGCAAAGAGGAGCGATTGACCAATGGTGGCTGCATTCGTTCCTCCCGCTCCTCGCCCGGCCTTGTCATCCGCCTCCTTCTCTTCGTTGCGTTTTCACCGAATCTCTGAGTAATCGTGCTCGTTCTCCTCCCTCCCTCAACCAAAAAAATACCCTCAAACAGAAGTGCTCGGTATCCTCGTCCTTCCTCCTCCTAATCCTCCTCCTTCTCGCTCGCGTCCATGCGGCGCGCTGGCCGCAAAGCTTCGGGGCGGCCCGGTGGGGTGTCGCTGGGGGTCGTCGGGGGTCGCCCAAACGACGGTGATTGCCGTCGCCAGGTGGTCGCTTGGGGTCGTCGGGGCCCAGGGAACGCTGGCAGTTCAAGGATGAGAGGCTACTGCGCTTATAATACGCATGCTTCCAGCGCGCCTGTGCGATTCATTCGGGGTCTCCACATTCACTTGACTAAGCTGCTTTGCTGGTACATAGAACGGTTCAACCAGGAATGTACACCCATCAGAAATCTGAAGTAAAAGCAGCATCGCCCTGGACTCGACCCTGGCCGTTTTCCTGTATCTTCCTTTGTTCGTAACGTTTTCGTAGATCTGGACCTGGACTACTGCTTCAGAAAACGCCGGGCGTGCTGTCGCTGTCTCAGCGTCCGACTTCCGCAACTCCGAGCAGGGGTGCTGCTGCTTGGCTTTGCTTGCTTGCTTGTAAGAAGGAAGGGGCTGAACCAGGAATGCTGGGGCGGAGGTGGGCGGTCCGCCCTACACATGTTCATGTCTAAGTATTCGAGAGTTATTTGATTTTTTTTGGGGCCAAGATCCTCTCGTTTCTAATTGTTCTGTCCTGGGCCTCTTCCTGGCCACTAGGGGGCCAGGAACACTTAGAAAGGAGCACAATTCGAAACGAGCACGATCAGGAATGAGCGGCTGTGCAGATGGTGGGCGGAGGTGGGCGGTCCGCCCTAATCCATCCCCTCCCCGCCCCGCCCGTGCTGGGGATCGCTCCTCCCGCTGGGGAGCTCCGCCCGCGGCCCTCCCGGAAGCCACGTGTTTGGAGGTGCTGCTCCTCGTGCCGCCGCGCGCAGAGGGGGATTTTTTTTGGATTACGCTCTGATTCGCCGAGGAGGCGGTCAGCTTAGTGCGGCACTCACTAGCTGCTGCAACGGTGCGAACATGCAGCACGGGCGCCAAGGTTTGGTGATTCTCCCCGCCCCCGCTCTGTCCTACCACCCACCCACCCCACCGCCGGAAGGCACAGGAGGGTCCAGAGGGGGGGGAAGGCTTTTTGGAGGCCCCCTGGCTTCCCAGAAGGCGCGGGCCTTTTCTGTAGATGCAAGGCTGGCGCCTTCTACGAAGCAGCCTCCTTCTAAGAAGTTCCCCCCCTTATCCCATTGTGCGCGTCGCCAGATTTTGCCGCGGGCCCAGCATACCAGCGAGTGCGCCGAACCGACCGTCGCTGTCGGAAACAACCGCCCTCGTGAGTTAAATCCATACCAAACCAACTCACAAGGGGAAAACACATATTTTGCGACATACGTACGCGGAGCAGTTCAATTTATCGTGAAGGCTACTAGCGACAAACACGCTCAGAAAGGAAGATCTTTAAACACAGCGCAGACATATTGCCGCACGTACGTTTGGGAATCAGCCCTGTTCCGAAAAGGGGCGGCTCCGACAGACCGAAAGCAGATCTGAACCTTCCACCGTCACCAAGTATATCTTCCACAGAGGGCACCAGAGGACCCAGACAGGCAGCAAACAAGAGAGCTCGAAGAGGCCTCATAGTGGAAGAAAGTCACAAAAGCATACAAAAGCCCAACAGAGCCAAAGACGGCCCCAAGTTGCCCAAGATGGCCCCGAAGGGTCCCAGGAACCCCACATTTCCTCCACGTCCTCGTGTACCTCGTCTCCCTTCTCTTCGTCGTCCTCCTCGCTGTCCTCCTGTACATCGCCCTTGTCCTCCACGCTGGTCCTCCCAGTCCTCCCTTCTTCCTCGTCCCCGTCCTCGTCGTGCCCGCCCTCGTCGCATGCCTCCTCGTCGTTCTCGTTTTCCTCGTTGTGCTCATCATCCACGCTGTACTCCTCATCCTCAGCGCTTTCCTCCTCCTCCTTCTCCTCCTACTCCTCCTCCATTTGTCATTTGCCTTCCCCTCTTCATCCTTATCCTTATTTCCTTCCCGATGGCATTTGCATTCTCGTTACCCTCCCTTGCCGGCCTGCTCTCCACATGCAGCCTGGTGCCGTGACGGTGGCGGCACGCCTCTTTTCGGTGGCCCAGCAGATTTAGCAGGGGTGTCCGGCACGCCTCAGTGTGACGACGACCACGCAGGGGCTCATGTGGGATATCGTTCTCCAGCCAAGAGCTCCAGGGATCGCTACCTCGGAACATGTGCTGGCCACGGCTTGGGTGTGACAGGCGACCCAATCGTTGGACGCGTGGGAGTCGTCGACCGCGGGAATGGCAAATCGTCGTGCGCTTCGCATGTATGTACCAAACTCAATCCTAGTGTTCCTCCGAGGGCTCGTTCAGATCCCAGTGCAAGCCCACCCGGAAACGATTCTGCTCCAGACAGTGATGAGACGACGATTGTGGATATCAGACCTGGCGTCGAGGCCATGGCCAATGATACGGAGAGGGCTCGTGCGATCCGTGGGATGCGCCACTGTCCTTGAGATTTGAACGCTCTCAGGGCGGCGGTAGCCCGAAGGAGCCCAAGCGCCCGCTCCGTCCAGGTTTGGTGCTGTTGGCTTGGAGCCATCGTATTCGCTTCCAGGGGATCATGCTTGCCCGCACCGCTGCCAATTTCCCCATGCAGTTGACATGCTTCGATGCTTCATCAGCCCGCAGTGGATCGGGTCGGCGTGTTGCTTCAGGAGTCTGGAGCCGCAGCGGAGCGGCGCCGAATCGACGAGCCAGATCGTCTCGCCGTTGCTCTTATTGGAAACCTCCGCGTGCGCGCGACGAAGACGGCGCCGCGTCATAAGAAGCCCTAGTGGCGCTCACGATTCCGCACACGACCACGCGGATTTCCCCCACGGCGGTGCCAGCTGGCGTGTGTCAGATCGAAGGCGGGACGGGGCTCCCGCGCAACCCGCCTGCGGACCCCGCCTCCCGATGTTGCGGACACACGCCCTGTTGTACGACCAGAGCTTGTTGAAGCGAATGTTAAGTCGGGCCTGTCCCCCTGCAGGGGGATCTTCGACGAAAAATAAAAATACCCCAACACTAGTCAAGAAATAGTCCAAACATAGTCTGGGGACTATTTGTTTGAGCATGTTTTGGCTTTTTGTGTATGGTTGGTGTATTTTTCGTCGAAAATCCCCCTGTAGGGGGACACGCCCGAGATAACGCGAATGTTTCAGTGCTTGGTCGTCTGGGTGTTCAACGTGCTGTCGTGATCGAGCCTGCGGCGTTTTCCGTCTAGCTGTGCGAATTGGCGATTGGAGCCAGCGTGGGAACAGAGTCTCGTCCATCCCGTGGAATGTAGTCCGATGTTGATTGTGGCAGAAGATTTGATCGATGGTGTCGGGCCTGCGACCTTCGCAAGAAGTGTCCCTGCAACCTGCTGGATTCGCGTCGAGGACGGCGCACATTCCGCATGGTGCAGACCAGGGAGGCCAGCTCGTCAAGTACTCAGCAGATGGATTTCGACGCACACGGGACCCCGCCACGGGTATGGAGACTTGCAGCACCACTACGGGTCACGTATTGGAGGTTCGCGGTGTGCATCAGAGGTCTCGGAGGTCGCACGCGCCGCTTCGACGTCCGAGCTCTGGGCGCGCAGTTGTGCTACCATCTGGCTGCCTCGTCTCCCCACTTTTGGGAGCGCAGGGCTCTCCCTCGGCCGGAGCGCGCTGCTGCGCGCAGAGGCTGAGGCTCGACGAGCTCCGGGGGAAAGCAACAACTTCTCCTCTTCTCTACACTGGTCCTCGCCCTCGTCTTCTTCACTTCTCTCCTCGTGTGATCCTTCTTCCTCCCGTTCTCTCCCCCTCGTTCCCCTCCGTATCCCCCCTCCCTCCTTCCAGGCAGACCCCCAAATCCGATGGCCAAACGACGGCACCGCATATGCCCCCATTTCGCTTGCGGCCCATATGCGCGCGCATTTGCACGTATTCCTCTGCTAGCGACGCGTCGCGCTTTTCCTTGACCAGGTTCGGAAGAAAATGCGTGCTCTGCACATCGGGCCCCACAGAAGATCCGTGCATCACCGTATACCGAGAAAGGCCAAATTGTATAACAATCGTCGCACATCCCTCGCTATGCAGGAGGGTGATTCAGAAACTACCGGGGGTCGTGTTCACGCGGCAGCGCCCAGGATGATGAGCAGAAAAACCGGGCCCTTCTCGCGCGCGCGCCTGGACAGTCGACGGGCCAGACAGAGCCGCAGCGAAGCGGAAGCCGAAGATTCGAAATATACGTATGCTGTTAATCGTTCCCACCGGCACTCCTTGATGGATTGCCACCTTACCTCATCCCTCGCCCTGCTGCCGCCTCTCTCCTCTTCCCCTTCCGTGCGGGGGCACGGCCCAACCCGTCCGACCACGGACCCATAGGGCGACGAGATCTATGCATATCCACTGCTCCTGGCCAGGCCCATCCTGGGCCCAGGAGCTGTGTATATGCCTCCCTGGCCAGGCCAGGAGGGCGTATACACCGCTCCTGGGCCCAGGATTGGCCTGGCCAGGAGCAGCGGATATGCATAGATCTCGTCGCCCTAACCCAGGGAGCACCGAGCAAGGAGCTCGCGCTGCGGAGGAGGTGCCCTGCCGCTGCCCTTCCGTGGTGGCGGCCTCGCCCGCACGGCCCCCCGCCCGCCCAGCGGCCGCCCCGCCTGGCAGCCCGCCAGCCGCCCCGGGGCCATGCGCCGCCTGCGGCGGCTGCTGCGCGCGGGCCGACCGGGGCGTGGCGTCGTCTCAGAGCGCTGGTCGGCCACACTCATCACCACCCACCAAACCACCCCAACCCAACCCGAAGGCCCAAATTTAGCCTCGATGTCCAGTGGGGGGGGGTCGGGGAACGTTGAAAAAACACATGGAATCCGTACCCCCCCCCAACCAGAAATTCGGGTCAAATTCGGGTCTTCGGGTTGGGTTGGGGTGGTCTGGTAGGTAGTCAACTCAGGTTCGGGCGAGTGGGTCCCCTGCAAAGGGGGTCTCGAACGTCGGCGCAATAGATCGTGCAATCGTTCATGGATGCGGGCAGGATGCGTGCATGTAGCACCGTCGGTCCGTGACAGAGGCCATGCGTCATGAGCCGCAGGATGAAGTATTGCATGTATATACGCATACATAGCTATGTAGATACCTGACTATGTGTATATATGTATAGACATACATCTATACGCATGGGCATAGCAACTATGTATATGTATGTATGGATGTATATACATAACATTTCGACCCGAATACGAAAGACCCCCTTTGCCTGGAACTTTCACTCGTAGGAGTTCGGCACCATCGAAATGGGTACGGAAAGAATGGGTCATTACGAAGACCGACAGCAGTGCCGGTCCATTCTGGACGGGGCTCGTTGTCGGCGTCGGTGCAGACGTCGCCCAGCTGGGACGGAAGGCCGCCCGCCCAATAGCGGCCGCTGCCGGTTTTGGGCAACATCCGTCGTCGGGTGTTGTACACCTTAGGCGATGCTTAGAAAACTTAAGTTTTCGGCCAGAGTCTCGATTATTCTTAATGCTTCAATGTAAATCCTAAGATGTTCATGGAAATGTTGGGTTTTTATTCAAGTTCTGAGACTATGAATTTCTGAACCCATGATTTCTTAAGCATTTCGCAGGGTGTATCCCTTTTTTCCGAGCCCGCTTCGGGCGTCCACTGAGAGCGACCCTTCGCCGGAGGGGCCCTCGGTGTGGGCCCACATGGGGCCCTGTGGGGTCCCCCCGCCCAGCACTGGCCTGCGCGCTTCGGTTTGCCCTTCCTTCTCCCCTCCTCCCCTCCCCCTTCCTCCTCCTCCTCCTCCTCCTCCTCCTCCTCCTCCTCCTCCTCCTCCTCCTCCTCCTCCTCCCCCCCTCCTCCTTCTCCTCCTCCTCCTCCTCCTCCTCCTCCTCCTCCTCCTCCTCCATTCCTGCCTTTGGAGCCGCGCACCAAGGGTCGCTCTTGCACAGGCTGGGCCGCTCTTGCGTGCAGCAGGCCCCGAGCAGCGTTGCCTCTGCATGCCGCTGCGCCCGCTGTCCTGCTCTTTGCCGGCCATCCCGCGGAGGGCCTCGTGGATCCGTGGGTGTCAAGGTCCTGATGTGTCCGCAGCAGGAGAGAGAGAGAGAGAGAGAGGGAGATAGACAGAGAAGGGATAGAGATTTATAGAAAATGCGGGTGCGGGGGAGGCAGAAGGGAACTTGATTCATCGGGTCAAGTTTGGCCGTCGAGCCAAACATAAGCATGTGAAAAAGGTTGCGGGAGGCGTTCTGGGCGCTGGTTCTTTGCCACACCGCCGTGCATGGGGAGGGGGTGCTCGATCTTCCTCGACTCGCCTGCTCCCTCGTGTGCTTCCTGTGCATACCCCGTGGAGGTGGCCGAGCTCCCCACGCGCCGCTCGACCCCGATTCGGCGCCCCCGTCGGGTGTGGGTTGACAAGGGGCCGCCCGGGAACCAACGAGGAGCCCGTGCCCGCGAGCGTTGCCCTCGCCCCATCCACACCCAGGGATGCACGACATTACGAGGAGCAAGAGGTCATGGTCATGATGCGCTCCAAGATTTCCCATGGTTCCAGGGCCTCCGATGCCATCTTTTCATGTTCCACACCGGCTGCAAGACTAGGGCCGCAAGATATCCACTGGAAATCTTGGAACGCAACCTGAGCCGATCTTACCACGACGTTGTTCTCTGCTGCTGTGCCAATTCCGTCAAAGCGGCTGTGCCAGTGCCGTCAAGGTTGCTGTCTGTGGTCTGTGCCAGCGTGCCAGTACCATTGAAGCGTGCAGGAGGGGCACGTCAGACCACAGCACGCCAGAGGATGTGCCAACCAGGCATGGCCCGGAGGAGTGCTCGGCTTCTGAACGGGAAAAAACATCGGGGCGTCGCTCTCTCCCCCCAGACGTGCCCCTCCTCCTCCTCCTCCTCCTCCTCCTCCTCCTCCTCCTCCTCCTCCTCCTCCTCCTCCTCCTCCTCCTCCTCCTCCCTCGTCCTCCTCCTCCCCAGGCGTCGGGCGCCGCCGAGGGAGAGGGAGAGAGAGAGGCTGCCCGGGGGAGGCGGCGCGCCCCTCGGTGCCGCTGCAGCGCGCGGCCGCTCCCTCTCCGTGGCCGCCAGCCCCGGAGCCGGCGCCGTGGTCGACGGCGGGAGGGGGGGGGGTCTGGTTGGGGGCCCCCAAACGGTGTGGTGACCACACCGTGCGGTGAGTCGGTGGGGATTCGGGGTCACCGCACGGTTTTGGGACTCGAGTCCTTCTCCGAGGATGTCTCGGGCGACAGGGGCCTCCAGGGTCCCAAAACCATGCGGTGACGGACCGTGCGGTGAGGTCTGGGAGGATTTCGAGGTCACCGCACGGTCAGTCACCGCACCGTTTTGGGACTCCCAAGTCTGGGCTCAAGAGGGGGATAAAGGACCCATGCCGCCACCCCTCCCTCGCGTTCGCTTTTTCTTGGACCTCCTGGGAGGCCCTCGTCGCCGCCGCTGGATTCGCCTCGAGGTTCTGGTCAGAACGCACCTTTGGAGAGGTCCGAGGAGCAGCGATATCGGTGCCTTCTGGTTTCCCCATAGGCCTTCCAGATGGCCTCTAGGGTGGGGATGGGGCTTCGGGGGCGTCCAAGGGGGGGGTGAGGACGAGTGGGGTGTGGACATCATGGCCGAGGCCATGATGTCTCTGCGGATTTCATGGCCCCCTCTTCTTGTCCGGGGGCGGACAGAACCCCCAACAGTGACACGTCGATGAGTGAATCGTCCGTGTTCGGCTCTCGAGAGGGCGCCGTGGCCGTCATGTTCCAGGTTTGCGCCCGCCAGGTTTGGGCCTCAGCTCGTTTTTCACTAAACCACGTTTTACTAAAGTCGGGGGAGCGTAAGACCCGGGTTTGCCGGGACTCGGGTTCGCCATCGTTTTTTGACGACCGCGACTCGGATTTTGACGAGGAGGAGTTTCGTGGGACGTCTGCAGCGGGAGGCCTCGTCAAAATGCAGGCTCGGCCTCGTCATTTTTTTGACGACCTCGTCGGGGATTTCCGAGTCCCCCGTGCCCGGGTCTTACGTCTCCCCGATAAAGGGGGGTCTGTCCATCCCCGACTTGTGTCGACACGTCCTTGGGCCCCCTCTCCCGCCGCGGGCCGCGCACGTGCCTCGGGCCATGATTTTCAGGAGGGGAAAAAACACACAGACACAATTAGTCGTCGATCCCCAGGAATACATGGGAAAATATGGGAAGTGGTGGGGAAGACAAAAAAACACAGAAAATATAGGAAAATATGGGGAATATTTTTATTTGTGTGTATTTATTTGTGTGTCCCAGTTTCCCTTCAGATTTGTGAGCCCCCCTCGGGCGCCCCCCGAGGGATGGGGTAGCGGGGAGGGCGCAGCGGGCGGCTCGGCCGCGCAGCGCGAGTCCTTAGGCCCCCAGCCCGCCGCAGGGCGAGGTAGCTTCAGGGTTGAGCTGGGCTTTCGCGCTTCAGGGTCTCTCCATGGATCTCAGGGGCCACTTTTGGGGGGGGTGAGCTCGGGGGGGGCGCATCGACCCTCGATCGGCCATTCATCGCCGGTGGGGGCCCAGTAACCCCAACCTGCGCAGGAACGTGCGGACCCGCTATTGGGACACAACGCCGAACTATCGGCGATGTATCGCCGAATCCAGCTCGATGCTTCCCCCCATGAGACCCCCATGAGCCCCCCCTAATGTTGTTCCCCGAATACGTTGCTTTGCACTTGGAATCCATTCAGGGTAAAGTCCAACAGCGCGGGTTCCACTCAGATTGGTGGATCTGGGAGCGATCGAAGACATTCTCGCATCGGAGTTTTGACTGCCCGCGTTTCTGAAAGCAGTGCTTGCAGTTGGCGGTGTTATGTCTTGGCCTGTAAGGTTCGGCAAATTTGTGCGGAGCTCGGCACTGCGGTCCCCGGGTGGTTTTTGTGCGATCGGATGGTAGCTATGAGTTGGCCCTGGATGCTACGAATTCCTTCGGTGTTCGGTGCTTGTCGTTACGGTCCCCCTGAGGGTTTTCCCTACGATAGGGTTGTGTCTGGTGGGGGGGGGGAGAGGGAGGGGTTCGTCGTGTCCGCCTGTTGGTTCTGGCTTGTTTTTGTTCCCACACGCGCCGTTGGTGCCTCGGCCGACTAGGCATGAAGTGGGGCGCCTACCAGCCAGCGGGGCGGCAGTGCGAGTGACGCCGACCTGTGGCTTGATCTGCCGCCGTTTCCGATTGCCGTTGTCCTCTTGGTGTTGCGAACCACTTCCAATGGGGAATCGCTCCTGGCCCGCGGTGTCGCCGTCGCCAGCGCTGCTCCCAGCGACATTGCCGCACCAACCTAGCGCAGAGTGTCACTAGCGTGTTGCAGTGATGGTGTGTTCGTTGTCTGTTCCTCCTGTTCCTTTCCTCCGCTCTTCTTCTCGCCTCTCCTTCCGACCCTGGCGTGCCATCGTTCAGGGGTGATATTGTTCAAGCGCCTGATTTGTTTCTCCTGCACAAGCCAGGTTCGCGTGTTGACTCGCCTAGCGCAGGTGTTTTTCCACGTGACCCCAGACATTATGTAGACACATTCGTTTGTAGACTTTCGTGGGTTTTAAGGCAGGCAGATTCGGATGGTGGTCTGAACTGACTTAAGTATGGCGGCGCGTTTAATGTGCAATGTGGTTATGTGCAGGGCGTGTTCGACAAGGAGCGCGTGCGGAGAACGCAATACCTCAAACATTCGATCGCCCACCGAATTGGCAGGGCCGTTTCCTGGTTGCTCTCCGAACGGATCTCCATTGGCCATGAGGCATCCGATCGTTCATTTTGTGATTTCCTGCCGAAGAAGCATGCCACTCGTTTGCCATCGGAAATATGGGCGGGGAACGTGACTAAGCGTGATGCATGATGGGATGTTCTTTGGAATATGTCAGGGCGCATTCCAGGGTCGCGCTCTTCTCTGGGACATCTGCTGTGCAATCAGGATATCCGATGAGCTCTCAGAAGTCCGAGGATCCAGATCATGTGCACTGTTGCCCGGCGGATCGTAGCATTGAATTTGGGGGCGCGCAGAGGCGAAACCATCTCTCCCTTCGAGATCCTTGGCGTGGAGCACGGTGCTCCCGCTGCGGCGGTCCGAGAGGCTTACGTGCACCTCGCGAAGCAGTTCCACCCTGATCGAGCAGGGAATGTGGAGGGGGGGTCGCAGCATTCACACCAATTGAGCATGACAAAGCTAATGGTCGTGAGTATGATGATGATGGAGTACATGAGTGTGCAAGCAGCGAAGCTAGTTGCAAGCCGCGGTCGACGCCCATGAGTATGCCTTGGTCTCTCCTGTTGGATTCGCACGGCCTCTCTTGTCATTCTTCGAGATCCGCAGCGCGACCACGCCAGATGTTCGAAGCTGGAGGACGCCGCTCAGTGCAGCCAGTGGCTGGACTGGAGCAGGGTCCTCTTGCACAGGAACACGATCTCCACGCAGCACTCCCACGTCTCCCCCCTCCACAGTCACAGTCGAACTGTGGTTTTGCTCTCCGGGTCAGGGTTTGATGCGGGTGCTGTCGGTTCCAGCAGAACTTTCCAACCCGCCGCCAGGCCGGTTGCGCGATTGCATCACCGCGGTTCTGGGCATCTCTGTTCTGTTACTCCTCGCCGCGCGGAGCCAGCAATCGGCGCCCCAGCAGAGACGAAGGAGCCAAGTATCCTTTTGGTGCCGCATTCTGCAGCTGTTTAGTTCTGTTTGTCACAGTTGAAGATTCGGTCTTCCCATCCGCGGGGGCGAGGTACAGCCATGTTGCCTTCCCCGGCCAAAGAAACAGGATCTGGTATGAAGATAACGCCCCGCTGGCAAGGGCATCGTGGCGAAAAAGGAAGCAGTGCATGAGGGGAGGAGCGACAAGGCAGCTGCTGAGCGTTTCAAGGAGGTGCAGGCGGCGTGGTATGTCTTGGGGGACCAAGCCCGGTGCGGGATGGGCTTCGGGAGCAGCAAGGGGCGGGATGTCAGGGCAGCGGTGCAGTACTGGCCTGCTGTGCTCGCCTAGCGCCTTATGTAGCTTGGTCTGAGGTCGGTCAAACTTCCGTTTGAGGGCGTCCTGGGCGTCCTAGTCCGAAACCTTTAACGCGGGGTGATATCAGGGACATCTAGAATTAGCCTTCTTTCTGGCAAGTAGTCAAGCCTGCACTCTTGATATTCCACATTGGTACTCAACATCCTACCTCCCTGGCGAATGAATCTCCATTGGCACTGAGCGGCACGCGCGTAAGCGCTTGGATTGATGTTCAAAGCCGGATGCCTCGAGCCATGGAGTGTCAAGCGCGACGGCCCGACGTTCAAAGCGAGCTGTGGCGGCCATGTTGCTGGCACTTCCTTGCTTGCTCTGGTGCAAGAGATGGGCAGCAGGAGGGACGTGTTGAATGGAAGCATGCTGGCCAAGCCTACCACATTCAGGGGACAAGGGTGCAAACATAAATCTTAACGCGTCGCGTGCCCCCAACAGTCCATCCAGCGGTCGGTGTCTCGCGCCTGAAGGGATCGGGTCTTGTCCGGTCGCGTTCGGTCCGAGCAGGTGTAGTCGGGCGCAGCTTTGTTTGTGCCAGTCTGGGTGTGTCGGTCTTGTTTGATACGAGACCTGCTGCCCCCTCGTCCCTCTTCCTCATCATTATTTCTCCTCCTCGTTAATGTCATCCTTCTGCCACATGTCTGCCCGCATTTGGTGGGGGGCAGATGTGCGGACACACGGGTGGCGATCTGGTTTGGTTCTGGCCTTTCCCGTGTTGGTGGAGTCGGTTATTGTGCGCTCCAGTTTGGTCGGCTCTTGAGGTCTTTCAGTTCAGGAACAATATCACTATGGTGTGAAACATGTTGTGCGATGTATGCGTCGAGTACAAGGAGGAAGAGCAAGAGGAACAGGAGCGGAGGAGAAAGTTTTATTCTGGACGCTCGGACTCTGATACAAAACAACGACAGCGTCATAACTTCCCACGAACGCATTTAACCCATGTGCAACGCGCGGCAGCATCAATGGCCCATCCAAAAAAACACGCATGTTTGAACAGGCATGCTGCCCGTGTGGAAGCCAGAATCGGTTCATTCCTAGCCCAACGGGACTTGCACGAGGCGGCACCGCTGGAAAGGAGATGGAGGGGGAGACGGAAGGACGACCACGTATAGGAGGAAGGGGGCGAAACGGAGCGTGAACAAAGAGGTTGGTGGCATAGACAAGGACCGACGCCAGCGCAAGGATAATCCATACACGCGCAGAACGCGACTAGGAATGACATGCGAGTGGTAACTACAAAGGTGTTCTGTCATACCACCAGTGCAGGAGCGATAGTAGGCAGGGGGTGTATACCCGACTTCTTGGCCTCAACCCTGCACCGCTCAAAGTTCGCAGCCGCGCGGGTGCCCTTATCTGGGCGTTGGACGCTTCGTGGGGAGTCTGAGTGCGCTGGCAAACGTACTGGCGGTTCGCTCAATCGTGCACTGAACTGGCCGGGCCGGGGGCTGTTACGCCGATCACTCGGCCCCCGCCCTGCAGCTTACAGAACGGGCGCTGGCACTTCGCAGGCGCACCGCAAGGTCCGCGGGCGGCTCTCGGGAAAGAAAGTCCAGGTCGGGGTAGCGGATCGCGATCGGGTTGTCCGGCGCCGCCGCCTCGGACAACATCACGCACAGGTGTGGTAGGACTCCGCCCTTGTCGTCGGAGTCCACTTTGGGAAACGGAGTCTCGTATAGATATGCGAAGGACCGCACTCCGCTGGATTCCCAACCAGCCCACAAAATGTATGGCGCCTGCCCTGTTGGCACCACCCAAGGAGGCGAGGTCCAGTGTGGGTTCGGACAAGACCACGCTCCGCTGCCCCCCCCCAGAATCTCACGAACACGGCGACAGTTGGTGCGCATGGCACCGCCTACGGAGGCGAGGTCTAGTTTGGGTCTGCGCAGGGCCGTGCTCCCCTGGACCTTGGCAATCGCGCAAGTGGCGACAACTGCGCAGTTGGCACCACCCAAGGAGGCGAGGCCAGCACTCGGCTGAACGCTTTCGCACACTTGCGAGATCGAGGACAGCTGCGCAGGTGGCACGGCCCACAGAGTGAAAGGCCAGTTTGAGTCTTCCCAGGGCCGCACTTTCCTGGACCCCCACGGCCGCGCAAGTGGCGACAGTTACGAAGTTGGCACCATCCAACGTGCAGGTTTGGTAAGACCCCACTCGGTTGGACCCCTCACTCACGAGCGCGACGACTGTTGCGCAGTTGGTACCTCCCACGGCGTCGAGGCCTAATTCGGTTTTGGGCACGGCCGCGCTGTGCTGAGTCCCCCACCAGTTAAAAAATGACGAAACTTGCGCAGTTGCCATGGAGGCGAGGTTTACCGCACCCTGCTGCCCCCCCGACACGCTCACCACGGTGACGACAGCTGCGCACAAGTCACCGCCCGAATAGTCGAGGTCCAGATTGCGTTTGGGAAAGGTCGCAGACCGCTGGGCCCCCCACAGGCCCACGAAAGTGGCAACACTTGCGTAGTGTGGACTTTGATCAGGCCGCATCCCGCAAGACTTGTCAGGAACTCACAAAAGTGGCGACAGCTGCGCAGTAGAAGCCACCCAGGGAGGTGAAACCTAGTTCGTGTTTGGGTAACACCACAGGAGCCCGCACAAACTCACGAAAGTGGCGACAACTGTGGAGTTGGCAGCACACAGAAATCCGATGTCTCCTTGGCTTTGCGTAAGGCTTTGTTCCGTTGGACCTCCCATGAGGCCCAGCGCAGGATGCGCACGCGTACACATTGTTCATGTCTAAGTATTCGATCCAGCCAGGCGTAGCTGCTACGTAACCTTCATGTGTCGACAGAGTTGCGGATACGTGGGCGGTCCTTTCTCTTTTGGTCTGGTGTGTTCTGGCAAGTCCCTTTATGACTTGGTCCGTGCCTGATCGGCCTAGTCTGGTCGTACCGTTGTTTCGACATGGCCTGGTCTGGTTTTGTTTTGTACGATGCGCCACACGAGTGTATGTCGTTATGGCCCGTTTTAGCCGCGTGTGTGCAATATTGATGAGGAAGGAAGCGGGAGGGTACGAAGAAAGAGCCACGCGATAACGAACGTAGCGCGACAATCTGATCTAGCATTCAGGGGTTCGCACATCTAGCGGCTTTTGCTTGCCTGGAGCCTCTTAGGAATTATTGTGCATTTGGGAGTGTGTAGCGGTCGTTTCTTCTCTTGTTTTGGGGTCTCTGAAGGGTGTCTGATTTACTTCTTGGGTGCTCGAGGGCCTCGTAGCATCGTAGTGGCCTCTTCGGGCAGTATTCAATCCCTTTGGAAGCGTTTGAGGGACCTCTCGAAGGCGCCTAAGTCTAAAATGGTATTTGAATTCCAATGGGCGTTCCTCGAAGGTCCTTTCGAGGCCTCTCGGGTTGTCTTGCATATCCCCTGAGAGACTGTTTGGGTCGTCTCAGGCCGTATTGGGAGCTTCTCGAGAGCACGAAGGAAGACCGATTAGAAATGGGGTGTCTCTTGGAGTCCTCCTCATCGCCATTGCCCTTATCGTCCTCGGTACCCGATTGCGCACCAACGAGATTGTCATGTTCCTCACTGCACTCCTTCTAATTTCGTGGCTCCCCTTCCCCTACCTCCCCTACCTCCCCCTATCCCGCCCATCAATCATCATCCATGCATGTCCTCTGCTTTATCTATCGTCGACCTACTCTCGTTATTCTCCGGTCTGGTCTGGCCTTGATTGTATTGCTGTGGCCGGGTCCTCTGATGTCTAGTCAGCTTTGGTAGGCCCATGAGTGGTCTGGTTTGGCTCATCCGACTTTTTGTGCTTCTATTCCTGGCCTTTCTTCCCACGCCTCCTTCCCATCCCATGCATGTTTGCCCCTCCCATTTTGCACACATTTAAACATAGCTGTATCGATGTAGATGTGCATATGATCGCAACATGTGAATATACCTGTGCTACTGTGTATATATACACACACGCTAGCATATCCTTGATCCCCTCCTTCTGCTGCAAGGAAAGCATATCCGTCATCCCCACTCTCCTCTTCCATGTCTCCTGTTCTTATGGACCGGTCTGGCCTTGCTTGTTGTAGCCTGTTTGTGTGAAACCTGGTATGGCAAGACATTAGCTTACATCATCTGGGATACTCTGAACGACCAGGGGCACAAGCAGGAATAGCAAGGCAAAAGGCCAAGCCATGAAGATAGGGAAGGGTAGGGATAACGATCGGAGGCGGAGGAGGAGTATGATACGTAATTGTACATGCGTGCCTGGGGTGATCATTCCTCATCCCGTCCATTCTCATCTGATCTGGTCAGGCCCAGCCGTTCCTGCTACGGCGCTGTCCGTACCTAGCTTGGTCTGGTAATGAGTGGTCGGATTTTGTGTAGTCTGATCTGGCCTGGCCCGTGTTAGACCACATGTGCGTCCCTGGCCACAGATCTGCGGGCACGTGGCTGGATTCGTTGTATTGTCGGGTCTGATGAGTTTTAGCTTTTCCTGTCATGGCCATGCCTGCTCGTGGTCCAGTCTCGCGTTGTCGGCTCTTGCGCGGTCTGGTCTTGTCTGTATGTTGTCGTGTAACAAGTGCAGCTGTGTGTGTGTGAGATGATCTGGTCCGCGATCATTGCGGACAGTGTGGAAGAACGACACGAAGGAAAGCCAGAGGTGCGGGCGAGAGAGCCACAGCATGACGCACGTAGTGTGGTGTCATTCTTGAGTGGTTCTCGCTAGCCTCTTGGGACCCTCCTCCTGGCCGCCTCGGGAATGTGGACTTTTCTTGGAGGCCCATGGGGGCGATGGAGTCGTCCCCATCATGGGCCTCTGGGAGGCGTGCGTTGGGAGCATTTTAGAAATTTAGAAGCCGACCTGGCGGAGGCATCCTGAATTGTCTAAGGGGTCTTTTTGATGTTAGTTGGAAGCTTCGTGGGCGCCTCTTGGGGAGCGCCACTTGGGGACCTCTTGAGGGGTCTTGAGGCCCTCGTGGGGATTACTGAGGCCCGTGTGGGAAGAAGAGGGGGGTGTTGACCGAACGTGCCCCTTATTTAGGGACCCTCTCGGAGGCCAAAATGACAGCAACTATATGTCGTATTGGGCGTGCGTATTTGTTCGTTGAATTGTGTGTAAATTAGGGAACAGGAAGGGCGTGCTGAACGGCAGCGTGCTAGCAAAACAGCACATGTGTTGCGGACAGGTGCGCAACCGCAATCCAGAGGCAGAGGTCCAGGAGCGGGTACATAAGCAAATCGACTTAGAAACGTGTGTGGGACGTTTGGAAATTCCCCGTATGTGCCACTGCGCGAACGTCGAAGCAGATAAGAATGGCATGTTCATTCATACCTAATGCGGTCACACAGAGTGCCACGCCAGCACTACAAGTGTTTCCAGCTGCCTGCGGCGAACCCCGCCACCGTGCCAGCTTCACGTCGACATGTATGTGGGATACCCACAACGATGTTTTGCCGATAGGCTCGGTAGACCCATGTTGGGGAGGCGTAAGACGATAGTGCAGCGCGGCACGGCCGTAATATGCATAAGTGTCGTGTTGGCTCCTGGAGTGTCGTTGCTGTACGCTTCTCGAGGGCGTCTTTACGGCCTTCTCGGGGGCCTCTTTAGGGTCCTCTGGAGAGCCTGTGGGTGTATTGGAGCCGTCTTGGGCGCGGCAGGTCTACCGAGCTCTTCCAGAGAGGCTCTGTCGAACAATATTGGGGGGCCGCCTGTCCGGGTCTTGGCAGTCTTGGGGCTGGTCTGGGGCCGTTTTGTGCGTCTTTGCAGCCGTCTTGGAGCTCTCGGAACTTTTCTTCAGGGTGACCAAGCTTCGGAAACGAAGCACATAGGGCCGCATGCGACCACACTTGTATCTGCATGTCCCCGAGCTCAGGACCTCTGTGGCGCTTTTGGGCCTTTTCGTAGGCGGGCGTTGAGACCGTCTGGTCAGGTCTCGGGGCCGTCATAAAGTTCTCTGAGGGCGGTCTTGGGCCGTGTCAGGGCCAGGGCGACCTTCCAGGGCGCATGGGTCCAGAGGGAAAACAGGATAGTAGTACTCTCGAGGTCTTCCTCCCTCCGTCCTCTCTCGCTCCTCCCTCCTCTCCACCCCCCATCTTTCCTCATCCCGCCATCTCAACAGATCCTCCCGAGTCCCTCCGCTTTTAGTTATCCCTTCCGCAACTGCTGCTGCTCCTCCTCTGCTCTCGGCGCGGCTACGGGGTAGGCGGAGAGAGTTCGAGGAGCACGGGACCCTCGCAGCGCCGCCTGCGGCGTGGTCGCCCATGATGTGGGCGAGGCTGGCTTCGCCCAGCAGTGGGGGGCGGCCGAGTCTGCAGCGACGTGGGATTTGGACCAGGGTTCTGATGTCTTGCGAGATCTGGTCGGGTCCCTGGGCAAGAGCAGCGGCCTGCCAGCCAGCGTTTTGGCTTTGATGTCTTGCGAGACCTAATCAGGTCGAGACCCTGGGCAAGAGGAGCGGCCTACCAGCCAGCCTCTCGGCAGTCGCCAGCCGAGGGTGCGATGTCTTGCCAGATGTATCCTCACCCCGCTCTGGGCTGCAAGTGTCCTGCCTTCCGGCGCCGCCCCCGCGCCAGCGAGGCTGAGGACGGCCAGACCAGAGGACGGCACGATCATCCCCAATTGGGGATCAGAGGACTGGCAGAGGGGGGCGCGCAGGATACAGCAAGTGGTCGGCGCGGATGGCGGGGGCTAGCAGACGTGTCGGGGGAGGGGGAGGGGAAGCAGGAGAGGAACGACGGATGAGGAGGAGGAGGAGGAAGGGAAGGGGTGGAGAGTGATGACTGGGGAGATGACAACCGAGTGGGGCTCAGAAGCTGACAAGTGCCGGGGGCGCCAAAAAGATGCAGCGAGAGGTAGTCGGGGGCAGAGGGCAGGGGACGACAGCCGACATGTCGCGGCAACGCCGCCCGTGTATTCGCGTGAGCTTGCGATCTTGTAGCGTCTCCCGCCGCGCTCGACACGATCGTGCTGCTTATCGCAGAAGAAGTTAAGCAGCGAGTGTGTGTGTGTGTGTGCTTGTACGTGTGCGCCTGAGCGTTTGGGCACCCGGACGCTCCTCGACGCCCCTCCAGCCACCACCCAGGCTGACCGAGACGCTGACGCCTAAGCTGGCCACGGCGCCCTTGCCCCCGCCCCCCACACCCGGGCGCGGTGCCCGCGGCCCTCGCGCGGTCACCACCGCCGCCACTGGCTTCCGCGGGCTCGTCGCCCAGACTCCTGCTCAAGAGCTGAGCTCCTCACCTTCCTCGAAGAAGTCGGGCCGCGCTGCCGCTGAGCGGGTGGCGCCCTCCGCTTCCACGTCCGCCGCGGCTTTTGCATCCTCGGACACGCAGGCTGCTCTGGCGGCAGATGACGCGACCGTTGCCGGCGCGGCAGGCCTCCAGGCCGGCCCCGCCGGGGCCGCGGCCAGCGCAAGTGCCGGCGTTCTTGCCGCTGGCAGCTGCTGCCGCCGTCGAGGCAGTTCCCCCCCGCCGATCGGTGCCCAGCAGGGCTCCAGCGCCTGTAGTGTGCGCCGGCCTTCACCCCTGGCGCGCACCGCCGAGCCCTTCCGCGCCCTCGCCTCCCGAGCCACCAGGAATCTCTCCAAGGCAGAAGCGGCTTGGATCGACAAGCACTTTCGCAGCCTTGGCCTCTTCGAGGAGGCCGCCTGGAACCAGTACCGCCTAACCTCCCCCACTGGGTGTCAACAGGCGTATCTCCGTGAGCATCGTGCGCGACCTCATTCCTGCTCGCTGTCTCGTGCCCTCGCCTCCCCACGCTCGGCGCCGGCGGTTCCCCGACTGCGACCTGGCGGAGCTTACGGGCCCGCAGCGCTGCGACGCCGCGCGACGGGGCCAGATCGACTGACTTCGGGCGCCGCTCCGACTCCGCGTCCCCCGAGCTCCAGATCAAGCTCCACCAAGCTCTTCGCGTCGAGTCTGTTCGCGGCCTCCAGCATTACCTCCGTCGCGACTGCGTCGACGTCCCCGACCGCCCTCCCCCTCTCCCAGGGTCGAGACCGGCACCCCGGACGCCAAGGTCAGGTGGGCCCCGACCCCTTGCTGCAGGGCGCGCCGCCGCTCGACGACCTGCCCCGCCTGCCCCGATGCGGATGTCCCGGCCCCCCCCCGCCGCTGCTACTCGGGACCGCCCCGTCCCTGCCGCCGGCCCAGGGCATACGCCGCCCGAGGCCAGCCGCCGCCGCACTGGCACCTCCGCTTGCACCGCAGCGGCGACCCCCTCAGGGGGTTCGCTCCACCTGTCAGCCGCAGTCGCAGTCGCCAGTCCTTTTCTGAGCTCCCTTCCCCTGAGTGGCCGCCCTCGTGCCGCGGCGGCGCGTGACGGCCCCCCTCGTTGCTTTGCCTCATGCGCGTCTCGCCCGCGAGGTTCCGGCTGGCTTCGGCCGCTTGTCCTCAGGTTCGCGCCCAGCGTGCTTCTATCCTGCCGCCCTGCCTGTTCTGTGCCGCCTGAGGTCCCTGCCATCCTTCCCTCTCCGCCACGTGCCATTATGGTTCCTAGAGGTCACCGCCTCAGGCCAGGCTGGCCCGCAACCCTCCTCTTGGCTGCTTGGGTGCTGCGCCGCCTTCTCCCCCCTTTGCCAGGGATCGGCTGGCTGGCCTCCTGGAGCAACCTCTTGGCGCCCTGCTGGGCCTCGGGCCTCAGGGCTCGGGTGCTCGTTGGACCTCTCACAGACGCTGGTGGACCCAGGGGGAGCCACTCCCTGCCCTGCCCTTGACGGGCCCTCCTGGGCGCTGACCCCGGCTGCCTCCCACGCTGTCCCGGCATTCGCTGCGCACGGCGGACGTCTGCGTGGCAGGCTCTCCTTGGCTGGTGCTTCCGCGGAGCTCCCAGGAGCTCGCCCCGCGTCCGCGCAACCCGCGTCGCTGGCGCCCATACGCCTCTCCTGCAGACGTTGTCGCCTTGGTTGCCGGACCCCAGATCAGTTTCCATCGGTTACGCGCAAGAGTGACCTGTCGCCAGAGTGGCGTTTGGTGTGGGCACGCTGAGGTCTCCAGATGGCTGAAAGGGATGCGATAGCAGCGGCTTGCGCGCTCCGGTTTCGCCCCCCCGAAGCCGCCCCAAAGCCGCGCACCCAAGGCCACTCTTGCCTAGGGTCACTCCCTGCGCGCAGCCGATTCTAGGACCTGCGATGGTGGCCGCCTGAGCAGTTCGCCCTCCGGGTGTCTTGCTCTCTTCTCGCCTCGCCGCCTCCCTGTCTCACGCCCCCTCTCCGTTCGGGGAGAGCGTCGCCGTGAAGGTGCAGATGCTGTTGAGTGCATCTTCCGAGGCGCTCGAGTACGGAAACTCGCGGAACGCCTCCCTTAGGCGCCGCTGGGCTGAGGTGCCCGCGGAGCTTCGGCGCGCGGGCTCGGACGCGCGGCTTGGCGGAGCGGACCTTCGCCGTCGGCCTCGCGCTCTCCCCCTGGGCCTCCGCCGCCGCGCGCCCCTGGGTGCCGCAGCCGATGCTGCGCGCGGGGCCGCCGAGGCAAAGCGTGTGACGGCGCTGTCCTTCCGCCCGACGGGGGCCCGCGCCAGGTCGCGGTTGCCTTGGGCCGCCTCTGGGCGTGCGGGCTCGGGCTGGGGCGCGGGCTCGGGCTCGGGCCCGGGCCCGGGGTTCGAGCGCGCGCCTGGGCTCGGGCGAGCGGGGGCTGCAACGCCTCGTGGCGGAGGCGTTTCCCGCAGCCTCTTCCTCTCGTGGCCACGCTGCGTGTTCGCCGGCGGCCGCGACAGCAGCATTTCGAGAAACGCCTCTCTGGCGCCAAGCCATGTGTTCTGACACCGCGGAGGGCGTTTCTCTATGTTCTAGGGGCGCGGCGGCAGCGCGCAGTAGGAATCTCGAGAAAAGCATCCGAGATTCCTGGCGTGCACGGTCTCGCGCGTCCAGAATGGCGAGCCACGCCCCCGTCACGTGAATCCCCTCGGTCTAGCGCCCAGAATTCCGAGACGCGCCCCGAATAGTGCGTCAAAGGCGTTTCGCGAAAGTTCCGGGCGCGCGAGAACGCGCTAGAGCCGTGCGCGCCCAGAACTCAGCAAGCGCCATTCTCAAGATTGCCGCCGCGCACAGTTGGTGCGCGCCCAGCATGTCGAGAAACCGTATTTTCTGCTTCTCGGAATGGCTGCCGCGGCGGTCCTCTCGCGCGCCCAGAATTCAGAGAAACGCCCCATCTAGCGCGACGGAAGCATTTCCCGAGACAGTTGCTGCGCACTGCTCGTGCGCGCCCAGCATTTCGAGAAACGCTTCTCCCTCCCATTACCAGCCTGGAGCAGATCCCTGTCTCTATGATGAGTATCCGCTTATCTCGATGCCGATGTTGAGGGCCCCCTTCGGTTTCTGATGACGCATCCTTCAGATAGTTGTAGCCTTTTGGCTTGCCACTCTCAGGGATCGGGATAAGTTCGAAGTTTGATATCCCCTGCGCGGCTGGTATCCGTGGTGCTTTGTGCGCCAACGATTTCGGCGGCCGTCGGACATGCCGTCCGATTGCCCCGTTGTCTCCGCCACTGTTGCCCCCCCCTCTCCCCAGCCGCTGTCTTCGTGGTCTTCCACGGCCTCCAATTGATGTTATCGTGTTTCCTCTCGCGCCCACTTCTCCTGCGACTCGGCATCCCCAGTCTGGCCCGAACCTGGGATTACTAGGCTGAGCCACGTTGCCTCGAACAAAGCTTGTCGGCCCAACTGACAGCCTGTGTGCCCCGATGCGGTTTGACGCGCGATGGCCTCCTCACTGTGGCGTAAAGGCAACGTGTGTGCGCGAGTGTGTGTGTGTGAGTGTGAGTGTGAGTGTGAGAGAGGGTGTGTGTATGTTGTGTGTGTGTTCTGTGTGCTGTGTGTGCGTTGTGTGTTGTGTGTAATGTGAATGTGTGTTGTGTGTTGCGTGTGTTGTGTGTGTGTTGTGCATGTGTTGTGGATTGTGTGTGTTGTATGTTGTGTGTTGTGTGGTGCGTGTGTGTGTGTGTTCTGTGTTGTGTGGTTTGTGGTTTGTGTGTTCTGTGTTCTGTATTATGTGTTATTGTGTTGTGTGATGTGTGATGTGTGGTGTTCAGTGTTGCGTGTTGTGGTTTGTGTTTTGTGTGCTGTGTGCTGTGTGGTGCGTGGTGTGTGGTGTGTGGTGTGTGGTGTGTGGTGTGTGTGTGTGCGTGTGTGCGTGCGTGCGTGCGTGCGTGTGTCCTCGTGGTGGTGTGTGTTTGCGTGTGTGCCTCTGTTTGTGTGCGTGTTTGTGTTTGTGTTTGTGATTGTGTGTGCGTGTGTTGTGTGTGTCTGTGCTTGCGTGTACTGAGTTTGTTGGACCTTCCCGCGGCCTTCCACGCCTCGCGCCAGAGGGAACCTTGGCCCCGCTCTGCGCCCATGGCCGTCTCCCGTCCTGCACAGCGCAGGGTCCCCCTGTGCCGCCGCGCCGCCCCAGGGCAGCCCTCAAGACTTGCTGCGGTGCACCCTCCTCCCCAAGGCCCCTAATATTCGAAATTGGTTCTCCATCGCCTCTCTGGCGCATGGCCGGGCTGCGCCGAGCCATTATGTGCAGTCGCAATGGCGCGTGATGCCGCAGTGCCGAAGACCGCACGCCGTATCTTGTCGCGTCGGGAGTGTTCGGGTGACCGTGGAGCGAACAAGGAAGGCGCACGAGGAGTTCCCTCAAAGCTGAGATGCGGATAGCAGTGGCGCAGGGAGGAAATCGAGAGCTGATGCTTTGGCGGGGGAGGATCCGCCGGTGTGGTTACTCGGCTCCTTTCCTGTGTCAGTATTAATCATCGCCTTCTTGTGGTCGGCGAAGGGAGACTTTCTAGAGTTCAACAGGACGGAAGGGAGAAGCTGGTGTGTCGCGGGGCGCGCAGCAGAAGCATTGTGCATTTCGAAACTGCAAAGGCAAAACAAAAGGAACAAGTAACTTTCAGTTCTCATCGCTGCAAACGTCATAGATGGGATGTCAGTCGTGTTTGATGTACGGCGTGTCCACGAACTGCGGTTCGGTTTGACCATGTGCGAGCACAGTCTGCATTGAGCGGGGCTTACGTCGTTGGGCAAGGATTCAGGTTCTAAGCATTGCCAAAGTATGTGGTGTATTCGCAGGGCGATGAATGTGGCCAGACATGTCAGAGTAACCGATGATGTGTTGCATGCTTGTGGCTTTGTTCTTTTAATGATCAGTCTTCTTGAATTGGGATTGTCGTAGGAAGCTACGGACGGTGTGCGAATCGGCAATATGATGTTGAAGTCGTTTTGCACTTGTGCTTAGTGATACTCCTCAGCGTCACGGCCGCATCATCGAGTGTATGTGCGAACGCGTCACCGCCCTTCATTGCGCTTACATCCTGAACCACTGCGCGCGAACATGTATGCCCGTATGGTCTTTCGACTCGCTCGATTTCGCGTAAAATTGAACGCATGTGGCGCACACGGCTGTGTCTTGTGAAAAGAGCGGCAAGGGAGGGAGGGACGCCCGGACAATACGAGAAGGCGGCTGGCCATGCCCCAAGTGTCTCTTTGTCAACGGGGTGCTGGGAGGGGAGTTTCTTTCGAAGGTGGAGCGATCAGGAAGACGCTTGCGGCACCAGAGTGTTCTACAGTCAGAGTCGGAGATAAGCAGCATCATCAGATCATCATATGCCGTATGATTCGAGGGAGAAGTTCGCAGTGCTTCCACGTGTGACCGCGTTGTTCGTTCACTCAACCCAGTGAAGCGTCGTGCAGGATTCGAGCCTCTTTGCTATCCCTATCCCACTCGTGATTGAAGCAATTTGCATCGCACGCTTCTGATCGGTACACAATCGCTACACATTTGACTTGTTGTTGCCCGATTTCAACAATCCTAAAGCCCGCAGTGTTCGTGACCACCGTGTTCGTGATGCGTTCGTTGTAGTCGAGTGCACGGCAACATTGTTGTGCAGGAGTTGCCTTGCATCATGCACGTGACGCCCACGATTGCACAGGATGTGTCGGAGACGTTCCGACTAACACGGCGGAATTAAACACGTTGTTTTGCATTGTGCGAGCCGTTTCTCCACCAGCCATTCCAGTACCAGTGCTTCGTCCCTTCTCGGAGGGCGCCCGACCGAAGGGCCATCTTGGGGGCTCCGTGGGGCGCATCGGTACCCCACTCCCCGACGTTCAGTATCCCTGGCGAGACGGGGAATTTCGCTACGAGGAAGAGGGGGAGAGACAACTTACACACACATGCGGCAATGGAAGGAGAAGGTTGGAGGGAGGAGGGGGAGGAAGAGAAGGGGGAAGATGCAGCTCGCATGATGTGGAGGAGGAAGAGGAGGAGGTGGAGGAGAAGCGGGAAGAGAATGTGTTCGTTGGGGCGAGGAGGAGTGGGAGGGGAGGTGACGGATGAGGAGAAGGAGAGGGAGACATAGGAGGAGGATGACCATGGCTTGGTCGGGTCTGAAATTCTTGGGCGCGTCTTTGGTGCCTCCTCGGCTGTCGCGGTGGGTGCGTAGGGATGTGGGCCTCTCTTGGTGTGGTGCATTCTTGGTAGCGCTTGGAAGACCTCTTGAGGAACTCTTGCGGATGTGTAGGGGCTGCTTGGGGATCTCTTGTGCTCTACGGGGCGCCTCTAAGGTCACCTTGATGGCCTCCAGAGGGCTTCGTGTGCCGTTTTGCGGGGCGTCTTCAGCGTCTCTAGAGGGCCCCTTCGTCCTAGTAAGCCGTTTGAGAACAAGACAGGGTGGACACCTTTTGGAGGGCGCTTTGGAGGCCACCAGAATCTGCCAACTATTGCCTGCTATCCAGCGTGTGTATAGTTTGGGGGCGAAGCTGGGCCCCCGGGAAAGTGACCTAAGGGACAGAAGCAGGGGGAGGGACACAGCCCTCACTTGGGGATGAAAGACGACGTTCGGGAACTAGTTTTAGCAGCGTGCCACCCTGAGCGCTTGTGGGGCTCGCACAGCCAGAGGTCAGCAGCTAGATGACCCACGTGCTTGGAAGCATCTAGCCTGCTTGAAGGCTGTCGGCTCGATGTCACGACGCGCAGCAAGGCCAGCGTTTCGGGAAGGGGGCGTGATACGGGGCGCAGATCCTTGTCTGCATGGGGGATCATTAAAAACTATGCGGGTGTTCTCGCTCCATTTTCTGGTTAATTATAGGTGGCGCCTACGGCGAATCACCGCCGCATCTTGCCCTTGCGGCAACGCCGGGGCACCTGTGGCTGACAGTCGATGTAACACTCCCTCGAGGGCGGTTGAATTCTGACTCCCCGAGGTGCTGTCGGAGCGAGAAGGGCAGGCACATGGGGTGCAGATTGAAGGATTGTTTGGGGGCTCATGCGAGGTCCTTTGGGTATCTCTTGGGCGCTAGTTAGGCCCTCGTTTGGCGACCGTTGGCGCTAACAGACTGTCATTCTTCGTGGTCGTCCTCCGTGTAGCCTTCCTTCTCGTCTCCCAGACTATCTTCCTCATTGTCCTCCATGTCGTCCTTCTCCCCGTCGCCATCCCTTCGTCCTTGGCATCTTCCGCCTTGTTCTACTCGTCCTTCTCGAGAGCCTCGTCGTCCATCCTGTCCTCCCTGCCCTCCCCCTCCTCTTACACGATGTCCTGTTCGTCTTCAGCGCTGCCGTCCTCCTACCTCGCCTCAACGTTATTGTCGTCCTCTGTCTTGTCGTGCTCGTCATCATGGTGCTCTTCCTCACCATCCTTGTGATTGACTTCCTCCTCGTAGGCCTGGTCCTCGTGGTCCTCCTCGCTGTCCATTCGTCCTCCACGATGTCCTCATCTTCATCCGCCTCCTCGTCGCCACCCTCTGCCTTCTTCCTCTTCTCCTTTTTAGTTTTCGTGTTAGTAGTATTAGCGTTCGTCTTCTTATTACTTTTCATCTTCATCTTCGCCATACTAGCCCAGTGGACGAACTCTGCGCGTCCCGTTCTTGCCCGGTCAGGATGCTTGAAGCCAGATCTCGTGGAGTTCTCGTTAGCAACGTCGTGTTGGCCATTGTCGCATGTTCATTATATTTGGTGTGGGTGACCACGCAGCCGCAGTTGACGAGATTGGCGGGAGGCTTCAGTGGATGTATGCCAAGGTTGTGGCGCTGATAGAGTTGTGCTTGAAGGCAAGGTGTTTGTGCCTTGGAAGCAGTCCCAGGCCTACGCCGCTCTCAGGTGAACCGCGCCGAGGGCTGTTGTGTGAGTCAACGGCCAAGTGTGAGCGTGGCTCTCGTCGGTCTAGCGCCGTTCTGCATACGTATTGGCATGCCTTGACGCCCCTCTTCCTGCTGGGAGAGCTAGTTCGCGAGTCAAAAGCCGAGCCATGTACAGTTTGTGCCGTGGGTAAGAAGCTGCAGTCCACAGAGGTGCCTTCTTGGCGTTGCGGTTCCCTGGACAATTACAACAGATGTCTTAGGCACGACCTGGCGCTGACCACAACACTTTGGCCACGCTGCAGAAGAGCACGGGGGCAGCATCTAGATATCATGTGCTGAGTACATGTCCTTCATCTCATTCAGAATTACGTTCATTGTTTCTATAGGAGGTTACGGTGGCCTCGAATGGAGGGTTACGTCAAGACGGCGCATACATGAATACTATACTTGGGCACGGCGCCATCGATACATTTGAACAGTGGGCACGCAGGGCAGTGATGTATGTATGAGTTCGTGTGGGTTGCGTTGTGCGCCGCGTGATGTTTGCTAGTTGCATCGTCGCCATGCCTGCATGTACATATGTCGTGCTTTGTTGTGGGCGTGTCTGCGGGAATGGCGCCGTTAGCGAATGCAAGTCAATTTAGATAGTTCTGCGTAAGATCGGCTGTGCCGTCTTATCGTGCAAAGACACGAGGGCAGTCTAGAAGCCTTATGTCGACTTAACTAGTGGCTACGGATGTAGCAGGAAGAAAGATAATTGCACTGTGGAGGCATGTTGACCTAGGTCGGGCTAGCTAACGCGAGATAGCAATATCTGCCAGGCTGTCCTAGCGAGTTGCCTTCAACTACTGTGCTGCAAGTGTGGCACACACTGGCTTTTGCTCGCGCGCGCTAGTCTATAAGGCAGGCCAAGGGAGCAGCAATACAAGTAGTACTGCAGGGCTTGCTGAGTTCGGTTTGCCTCCATTGCGCCGCCTGCTACTATGCGGGCCGAACTTCCGTACAATGGCCGAACGTCCGTCCAAACGGCGCTCTCGCCTCGGCGCGGGCAGCACACCGCCAGCGTCACCTGCGCGCTGTGGCCAGTTTAAGAGCGAATCGAGAGGATGCCTCAGCAGAAACTGGCGCTCTTGGTTCAGATGGGGGGCTGGGCGACGCGGGCCAATCAAACGCACGTTTGACGAAAGTCAAAATCGAAGCGATGTACCAGCAGGTTGGGCCAGTTTGATTGCCGCCAGCTTCTGTCGAACCCGTGCGGAGCAAGGGTCCGACGGTCATAATGGATCATTGTGCAGGTAGTTGCACGTTTCGTGGAGGATGCTGCGGAGCTGATTCCATTCTTGTTATCCGTGTCGCGCCTCCGTCCACTCACTTCCTCCTCCCTCCTTCTCCATCTCGCGACCGGAATCATCACGATGCGACAGGCACGGCACTTGGGCAACACAAGAGGGGGTGCCGGAATGTCTCCAGCGATTCGCTTGTTTTACGGATGTAGGCGCCGCGCGGTGTTCGCGATGTCGCAGACATAGCTCTTGGGCGCCACAAGGGGGAGCGACCACGGGGTAGGACAGTTGCCCGCTGGCGCCCAGCATTCGGGGATATCTCACGCGAGACGCTGGCGTTTTGAGGTGGGCATGCTTTTTTCAAGCCGCCACGAAGAAAGCGAATACTTGGGTACCCCAGAGAGGGAGGGAGGGCGCCCGAGGGTCGGACACTTGCCCGTTGGCCCCCAGATTGTGGGGACGTCCCCTGCGAACAGGTGGCCTGCGGAAGTCAGACATCTGCTTTCTGGCCGTGGCAATCGCGGTGTAGCAGTCATCACTGTTTGGGCGCCACAGGGGGGGAGGCGCCAGGGGGTACATCACCGATGCGTTCGCGCCCAGATTCTGGGGATATGTCAATCGAACCGCTTGTTTTGGGAATGTCGACGCGTCTCTTTTTAGGGCCGCGCAGGCGCCGCGACGACGTAGTAGACATACTACTTGGGCTCTACAAGGGTTAGCCGCCAGGTTGTTGAGAGGAAGACGTGTCTCTCTTCAGCGGTGTGTGTGTGTGTGACCACTGCTGTGCAATAGCAGGTGGGCACTTACCCAATGGCGCCCAGTTTGTGGGGATGCCTCATGCGGAACCCTGGCTTTTATGACTCGATTGTGTTTATTGTTGTTCTGGGTTGCGTGGTCGTCATGATGTAGCACGCGTGGCATATGGGGACCGCAGGGGGGGGGGCCGCTAGAGGCTACATCACGGGCGTTGTCGCATCATGTTGCAAGGACGTCTCGGCTCACCCAGTTTCTTACATACCCGCTCATGTTCCGACGTTCGCAGACAGGAATCGCTAGGAAACTCATGCGTTACCTGGCCAATGAGAAATACCGCGGGTGAGCAGAATAAGGAGGGGGAGGAGGAGGATGAGGAGGAGGAGGAGGAGGAGGAGCTGACCGATGCATACACGGGGACTTCCCGTAACGAAACATGTTTCTCACCGTCGCCTGTGCAGCATTTCGTTTTTGAATGGCTCTACCTCCGCGGGCACGTGGTCTGTGCAGTTCATGCCCGTCTGAGTATAGTCCTCCACCCTCTTTCCGCCGCTCTCCCACTCGTTGCTAGGGCCCTCCTTCCGCTTGGTTCTCTTTGGTTCCTCCGCCTTGATGATGCCGCCCGGATTTGGCTGGCCACTTGGGCTTCGGGGCGCGTTGCATTGAGGGTATCGTGGCCTCGCTAACCCTGTTACATGCCAACAGCGGGGGAAGTGGGTATCAGAGTACCTTATGTAGTGCTAGGGGCCCGTTTTGTTAGATCACAAAAAAAGTAGCCTTTAGAGTGGTCAGCTCCAGGTTTGGGTCCTTGCGCGCGAGTAGAGACGCCAGGGTGCGGTTTCGATTGTAACGTCGTGCTACGCGCTATTCGTGCCTTGTTCATCGGAGCGTGGTCTGCCTGTGCTCTGGAGCCTCGAGACGATTGCACTAGCTTCAGGAGTCGATCATTCACAATGTATTCATGTCAAAATGGTGTTTATCAATGTTTTGTGTGAGAAGGGGTTCGAGCGTTATATAATGCCATGTCGTGCAATATGTTTGCCAACTACGCAATGTCCAGTTCAACGGCTAGCTCACCCCAACTTTGCCTCATCGTAATCATTCAGCCCTAAGACCCTCCGCCGCCTCCTCCGTCATCATATCCCTGCCCATCGTGCTCTTGACCCTCGTCCTCCTGCTCTTCGGACTCATCTCCCTCCTCCCTCCTCTCATATAATCAACCTCCCCCTCCATAACCGTCCTCGTCATCATGCCCCCTACATCGTGCTTATATCAGCCGTGGCAGCCATTTTGGCTCGATGGCGTCGCCCGAAGACGACGCCTGGGAAGCGGCAGCGTTGGCAGCATTTTGCTCCGATAGCGATGCCGAGTATGAGAAGACCGACGTCGACCGACTGGACGGTGACCAGCGACCAGCTCCGTCCAGCCCAGCCGCCGACCACGGTGCCCGACGGGCAGGTCCACTCGCCATGATCGTGGCGCGTGCGGCCGAGGAGGAGCGTCGCAGAGCTGCTCGACGGCCAGGTCCTCGGCCGCGCGACTCAGGCCGACCTGAGGAGAGAAAGTCTAGAGCCGAGCAGCTGGCAGACGCTAGAGAGGTGAAGAGAGCGAGGCGCGAGGCGGCAGACGAGGAGGTAGTTGTCGACGGCGGCGGCCTGATAGTTGTGGGAGCTCGTTCTGAGAAGTGGCCAGTTGTGCATTCGGCAGTGATGGCTCGTATTCCTAGGTTCCACGTCGGTTACGACAAGCGCTGGCCGTTGCAGCCGCTGGTCATGGAGGCCATGGGGGTTGCGGACAGGGAGCCCCCAGACAGCTCGCATGATAACGACATGTCTAGATTGGGTGATTGGTATTTGAGCAGCTCGTCTTCGACACCATTCCGAAGTGGAACCAAACGGGCGCTGGCTGCTGCTACGGGGACGTCAGCACAACACATTGGGGCGAACATGTGCCGACTAGCGTGTGCAGCAATCCACGTGGATAGGAACCATCGTCTTACATTGGAAGCCTTGGTCGGCACGACGTGCCCCGACAATGCCCTTCTGGCTTATATTGAGTGGGTTAGCGCTGACGAGACACCGCTTAAAGTAGGCTTGCAAGACCTTGGAGATAGGATCGGCATCGGAGAGGCACCTCACTTGGCACTGGAGGCTGGTGATGGGGTCGTTGCAATTGCTCAGCATGGCGCGCTGCCTCCGCTGCCGACTTTGGCTAAGACCCCGGCGACCACGTCCAAAGTATTGCAGTCTGCTGCTGAGTATTTGATGGTGATTCAATCGCCGTCTGGTGCAATTCTGATGCTCCGAGGGTCCACGCAGTCGTGGCTTCAGCTACTGGATCGAACGACAGGAGAATGCCTCCAAGAGGCAGACAACCAACGGAGCGCAATTACTGAGTTCCCGAACAGGTTTCAAACACGCACACGCATCGCTACTATGGACAGGGCGTCGTCGAATTTCAGAGCTGAGCGAGGCATTTTGTACAAGAGGGCTTGTGGGTCAAAGTGGTTTCATATATACTTGGGGTGCGAGGTTCACAACCTCGCTGGTGTACATCGCCGCACGTTCGGGTTGTGCGAGGACGACATCAGTGGTCAGATCAACTTCAGCCTCGCAGTCAACTTGGGAACTGGGATGCAGACATTCGGGCGCTGCGTAGTGGCCTACGTCAAGGACAAGCTGCAGATCAAGAGGGGCGAGCCGCCACCAGATGCAGTCCTGTACCGCAAGCACTTGATCAGGTTGTGCATGGCTCGTGGGTCCAGGCTGCTCGCGAAGCGTCTTTGCATACAAAGCCTCCCCAATGGTGACTGGGGGAGGCGCGGCGTCATCGAGGTCTACGTCCCAGAGGGCATTGATTACGACCGTACTCGGATCGCAGACGTGGTTGGGAGGGGCATCCAATCCTGCGTGGCAGGCAGGCGGTTCAAAGTGTACCCGCGCTCTCGATGGACTGGGGCAGACCAAGCATTCGATGAGTTCGTCATG